CCTGGAAATCTGTGTGCATCTGTTTTATGGATTCCATTTGTTTCCTATGTTGGGATTCCATCATGTTCCTCAGCTCCTCTATTTTTTATCTGTGTTCTCTCTGGACTTATTAATCATGTCTTGCACTATGGGCACAATCTCTGCTGTTATCTGAGAAATTATTTCTTATTTCATTTTTTCCAAATCCTCTTTTGTTGCCAGTTCGGGGAGTCCAGGTGGTTGAGTATCAGATTGTTCCATCTCATTTCCCTTTGGGGTTGTTATAGGTGATTTAGAAGTCTGGTTCTGAGACTTGTTTATGTGTCTTCTCATTTTAACAGTGTGTGGGGTGGGTGCTGCTGGCACCTGCAAGGCTCACCTCCTCTGTGCTGGGGGTGATGGTGATAGTACTGTGGCCTGGAAGCCTCCTCCTGGGTGCTGGGAGTGAGTTTATTATCTTAAACTACTGTACCTAATACAGTAGGAAAAATTGACATTGGAAGTAGTTCTTGTGGATAAAAAAATAATAGTGAGTATTTTCAAAGGAAGAAGAAAAATGAAGAGCAGGCAGGATTCAGAGCTTAGAGCTCGGAAAGGCTCAAGTCTACAAGAAAGTGAGGTCCCAGCAGATGGAATATCAGGTTGGAGCCTAGGTCTGAGGGTCAAGGTTGGACTGTCATTTTGTACACTGATTCCTCATTTTGTGTTCTGATTCTTTGCAAGGGTGTCTGTGTATGCTCATGGCCATAAGTAGATTGGGGGGCCTCGAGGGGAGCCAAAGAGGGAAGAGCCCAGGAATTGGCTCCGGCTCTAGTCTTCCACTTTTTGCCCAGGAAGGTATGTTTAGTAATGTCTTTATTATAACCATGTTGAAGTACAGTGAGAATGCTTTATTTCTCTGTGGAGTTTGTTAAAGTAGGATTTTTCTCATCTATAGACATACACAAAATAATTGTTTGAACACGCATAAATATGTAAAGACACATCAACTAAGGCAATCATAAAACATGTTGAAAAATGTGCCCACAAAGAATTACAACAAGAGTATAAAAAAAGTATGCTTGTATATTCTTTTTACATAAAGAACACATTGGAGAATAAATTAGCGTGGAAAACGGTCTCTTTGAAGGTACAATAACTATTGTTTCCTTATTAAATCCAGTTTTTCAATTAAGTAGAGGTGCACTGATCCACACTGGCTGGAAGATCCCATGGAGAATTCTGAACTTCACAGATTAGCAAAATACTATAATTGGAAAAAAGGAAACATGACACAGATTTCCAGAGACTAGAAAAATGACTGTTATTGTTTCTTTATTTTGATAACTAGCTTTAATTTTTAATTATTGAAATGCTTCATAAGGGATAGTAAACATGATTTTGTAAAAGTAACGAAAGGATAAAGACAAGGATTTAATTTACCTAGCACCTACAAAGTATTAGACACTCACTTTGCTGCTATCTATCTGGTTTGATCATGACAATATTATAATATTTCATGATAGTAGCCATTGTTATTATGCTTAATGTACAAAAAAGGAAAAAACTGAGTCCCAAAGGTATTAAATTATTTCCCCCAGGGAGCACAGCTTATAGGTTGGTGAGCTGATGTTTAATTTTTTAATATCATAGCAAAAACTTAGTTTTAGTTTCTGTTTTGCATGTCAATTTAAAAAGGAATTCTCTTCATTTTCAAGTTGGGTATTGTGGACACTACTGTAGACGAAATTGCCATTACTGATCTGTACTTTGGTGACAACAGCAAAATAAATCAAAACCAGTATAGATAGGAATACTTTCATGTGGCAGACTGTGCGGAGACGCATGATGCCAAGCAATGTGCCACTTCCAGAGTGGGAGTACTAGCTTTCTTGTCATCAGTTATGAATTACTCTAAAGAAATAAATGTGATGATAAAAGCTGTTTGGCCAATCCTCCTTCTAGTGGACTTTGATCCAAACCTGCTTAAAAGCACAAACAGCACTTCTGGGCCTATTCAGTCAGCAACCATGATGAAATGCCAGACGTTTTTTCTACATAGTAATATTCAATTTTTGTAGACTTCTTTGAGATTGCTAATATCATGCTAAACTTGCAAATAAGAAACTTGACACCAAAGAAGTTGAGTAACTCTTTCAAAGTCAAATAGCTGCTAATATATAAATGGTACATTCCAAGATTTTAACTGTTTACTCTCAAACTCCATGTGGTTTACACTTTACCATAATCCTGTTCTCATGGATTGACAGGTAAACTAAGAAGACAAGACAATGAAATAAGCATGTTATTCAAGAAATGGCTTAGTCCATTCATAGCGTTCTAGCATAATGCCTGGGGAGGGGTAATTTATAACTAAGAGACACTTACTTCTCAGGGTTCTGGAGGCTGCAATGTCCCGGATCGAGGCACCACTGGTCTTGGTGTCTGGTGAGGACTGCTCTCTGCTTCTGGGATGCCCCCTTGTTGCTGCACCCTGGAATCAGTGAGCACTTGTCCTCACAAGGCAGAAGGACACAAGGACAAGCTCACCCCTCAAGCTCTTTTATAAGATAAACATTGCCGTTTGAAAGCCCCACTACTTACTACTTTGCACTGGGGATTAAGCTTCAACATGAATCTTGGAGGGGGTACAAATATTCAAACTACAGCAAGGAATAAGCAAAATTCAGAAACAGTTTTAGCAGAGTAATTGGGGGATGTTTGAAGAAGAACCTTTAAAGGTGAGAAAGACCTTTAGAGAAAGCAAGAGCAGAGCATTCTAGATTGAACAAACAACATGATTCAAAGCATAGGGGCACCCTTGAGGTAAACAACATGGTATGCAACTAGAGTGTTGGATTCATGTTGAAGTATAGTAGAAAATATATGACACACAGAGTGTGTCTACACTCTGAAGGATCTTGGATTTCATACTGAGGAGTTGGAGTAATTCTATACTTTCTGCGTGGTTAAGATTTTTGAGAAGGCGAGTTAAATTGATTTGTACTTTTTAGAGGTACACTAGAGGTATAAAAAGTCTAGATTAGCAATTGGAGTTAGAATTAACAGGAAGCTGTTGTAATGGTATAAGAAAGAAAATATGAGAGCTGGGCCAGCAGCAGTAGGGATGACCTGAAGGTTGACATAGTCTCTGTCTAGGAGATTTTACAGGTAGAAACTTGGTGATGGTTATATGTAAGTAGAGGAGAAGGAACCAGGAGTTATGTCAAGGTGTCTAAGATTGATGATCAAATAGAGGGAAGTATCAAAATACTGCTGTTGGTAAGAGGGAAATGGAAAAATAAAATCACAAACATACAAAGTATGTTGTTTTCCCACTGTTGACTGTTGACTGGATTAACTATAATTGGGATAATTGTATTCTTAAAATATGATACCGAGTGTGTGAAGGACATTCCATTTTTAAGGTAACTCTTAATAGCTCCTGAGTCATTTGACAAAAGTGTGATATAAATGACAGGTTTTGAAAATTACATTAATGATAATGGGGTGATTGTAAGGCTTTCTCTGTGTGTTTTCTTGGTATTTGAAGTGAATAATACAGATATTTTTATTCCAGGTAGCAATGATCCAAGTCACTCCTGTGGATGACCAGCTCCCACAGGAGGCTCCTGGAGTTTCTCGGCATTTGGTTGTCAAGGAAACAGAGGTGGCCTACATAACTAAGAAACATCTACATTTCCTAGACACGGAATCATATGATGGGGAGCTGCTCTACACAATAACAACTCCTCCATTTTTTACCTTCAGCCACAGGTATCTAAAAAGTCATCATATAATCTATTAGCTCAAGGACTGGAGAGTCAAAGTGTCAATAGCACTATAGTTCGATTGCTTCAGTGGCCAAAGATGGACTTATACACGATTCAGCATTTACTTCCATCTCAGATTTTCTCATACCTCCTTTCAAAAGCTGTGTTAATTAGTGATCTGTTGCTTATAATGTTTTCAAAGTAAGTATGCTAAAAACGGTTTTAATTCCCATTTTTAAAAATAAAATGCTTATTTTTATTTTTAGTAAAATTTACAGTTGTCTTCATAACATTATTTTTAGATATTACAGACCACAGAATGGCCATCTTGTCTGATCTCATTCCAGAAAGGTGGAGTGCCTACCTCAGACTAGTCTCCTGTACAGAATAACAAGGAAACATTTTTAAGATTATGATTCCCTTTCATGATGACAGGAAGTTTGGGCATGCCTTTTGCAGTTATGATGAGGATGGCATTGATGATACTGAGCAATACTAGGATCCTCCAGCATAAAAAGAGAATATAAGGATGGAATATCTAATTTCTTCTCATGATGAGCTCTCTTACCTTTTGCAATTTTGGTTATGGGCTATTTGATTTAATTTTTCTTATCTGGGAAATTAGCTGATGTATTCTCCTGTATTTCTCTTCAGACATTTGGATGCTGGGAAGCTATTCATCGTGGACAGCATACCAAAGCTAACAAAAAATCCTACAGCCTTGGGACTGAGGTCATTTACTCAGGTATGACGATTTGCTAAAATATTGACAAACATGATGTAAATATTCTCTGAGAAGATAGGGCTAGCATTACCCCTGAGAATGTTGGCCAATGAAATCTGCCATAAATGCTTGATGTCTTTATTCTTTCTGCTTGCACGTTTCCAAGAGGCATGTGGCATTTATTTGAAAGTGTTTTATCAAGTTGGATAAAATTTCAAAATCATATTATAATTCAACACGGCTTTTTGCATTATTTTACCAGGAGCAGGACTCTGGAGCCTCCATGCTTGAGGTTTTTTTTTTTTTTGGTACTGGAGATTGAACTCGGGAACTTGTGCTTGTGAGGCAGGCACCAGAGCCACTGAGCTAAATCCCCAGCCCCATGCTTGAGTTTTTATTCCACTAAATTCAGCTCATTCGGTGATCTGTAGTATTTCCTAGGGTTGCCATAACAAAGTACCACAGCCTGTGTGAGACTTATTTTCTCATAGTTCTGGAAGCTGGAAGTCTGAAATCATAGTATTGCAGAGTCGTGCTCCTTCCGAGACCCACTAGGGCAACTTCTTTGCTCCTTTTCAGCTTCCAGTGGCTTTCCAGAGATCTTTGGTATTCCATGGCTCGTGCTTACACAGAAGTGATGTGGCTGGGTTATCACATGGCAGTTGTCTCCCTCTGTGTCTCTCTCCTCCTGTTATAAGGACACTAATTACTATGTTGGATTACGGGCCCATCCTACACTGGCCCACCCTACCCCAGCATGAGCTCACCTTAACCAATCACATCTGTAATGAGCCTATTTCCAAAGAAGCCCATGTTCTTAAGTACTAAGGGTTAGGATTTCAGCATGTCTTTTCTGGGAAACACAATTTACCACATTTACTACCTTCCAAAATCCTTCACTCTCTCTCTCTCTCTGCCTACTCCCTTGGACTCTGCTTTACAGACTTCGTGGAAGTCCCAGTAATGGTGGCAAGTGCTCAGGCAGCAGTGGTGACAAGTACTTGGAGCTAATTATGCTTAGTTCTCCATAGTTAGAGATTGTAAATGAGCATGTCAATCCCAAGTGATAATGACTATTATTTTGTCCACTTTACACCCAGAGGCCTAACAAGTTTAAGCAGCTTGACCAACATCACACAGCTACTGTATGGTGGAACTGAGTGGAAACACAAGTCTCCTTTCATTTTTAGAGTTGGCTGTTTTCAAGCACTGACATATTTAGTTTTTTTCTCACTTTGCAATTCTGAGTATTCAACCCAGGGATTTTGTACTGAGCTATATCCTGAGCACTTTTAAAATGTTTTAAGACAGGATCTCATGAAGTTGCTAGGTTGCTTAGGCTAGGCTTGAACTTGGAATCTCCTGCCTCAGCTTCCCAGAGTGCTAGGATTACAGGTGTATGTATCTTTGCCTGGTGACATATTAACTTAATTTCTTTATTCTTTTACCTCCTTGTAGGTAGAATATGTGATTCATAAAATAGAACTTGGAAATCTTTAAATTGACTATGGTGACATTTGCAGTGTTTATTATCATGTAACAAGGTGGTTCTCTTGGACCTAGGTCTCTGAAAGTGTCTGACCTTTGCAAATCAACACTCACATGTCCATCTTAATCTGCTCTGCAGCATGCTGTGAACTATTTGAAAGTGGCCTACATGCCACCCATGGAAGACATAGGCCCCCATCTTCGACAGGTCCAGTTCAAATTTTCTATCAGTAACCAACACGGTGGCACTTTGCATGGAATCTGTTTTAACATTACGATTCTCCCAGTGGACAATCAGGTTCCCAAGGTAGGTACAATTTTTGATATGGAAAATGAAAAGGGAGGGGAAGGACTCACTTTTTAAATTTTCCAGCTGCTGTATAGGAAACAAATTAGGGGAAAAGGGCCTTCTTCACCTCCCAGGAGACTTTCTAGCTAAAAAGTGAGACTTTTCCAGTTTCTGAATTTGGCATTGTTTTCAAAGCTTTATCAAAATCTCTTTCATTTCCTTTTCTTTCTGCTGAGTTTCACATGTTGATCAGAGGAAGAGGATTAAATGAGGGGTCTCTTAGCAACCAGAAGGTCTGATTTGTTCTCAGCACTGGCCAACCATGCTGCTGTGTAATCCAAAGCAACTCTTTCATTTCCAAAATGAATTGAGATGGATGCTTTTGCCCTACCCTGTCCAGCTTCCCAATGTTTATGTAAATCTTAAAGGACATGGGTCTTTCATTAAAACCAAACTGTAAAGACAATAGGTAGTAGCTTGTGAATCTTCTCTGTGAGGCCAAGGTTCACACCAAGTTTGTACTGTATGCTGTCCTCCCTCCCCTTTTAGAGTGCTACATTTGACTAGTTGACTATAAGTGGGCTCATTTCCCCTCAGAAGTATAAAGACACAGGAAAAGTTCCCATCCATTATCAACCAACAAGGTCTCTCATCCTAAGAAACAAGGTCACCTTCTCCAGGTACCTACCTGAAATATAGTCAGCCCTGATGTTCTCTTTCCTGGTCGTTTTCCACCATCCTCACACTTGCCTAAGATTGTGGAACAGAGAGCTTATTTAGGGCCCCAGGGGCTTACTCAACATGCAGAAGTGGTCTATTGACCTAAACAATATTGTAAAATAACAAATTGTTATTGTTTAAGGTTCAAGAGATTACCTATCAAGTCTGACTTTGGGTTCCCTTGAAAATGTGGAAATTCTAGCAACACTGAGCCCATGTAGCTCATGCAGCCGTGAGGTGGTGGGGCTCTCTGGCCACCAAAGTTCCCCCCAGCTCACCACACTCATTTGTATCACCCACCTGATCTCTCATGCTGGTGAGAACTCTGGTAGAAGATATGCCAGAGAGCTCACACCAAAGAATCTAAATTAGTTCCATTCCCTGACACTGTTCCCGGTAGAGAATAGATTGTATTCCCTGTAGTGAAGTGGATTAAGATTTCTCTGGCGTTAATCAGATTAGATTTTAGTCAGACCACCCTTTTCTGTCCATGAGATTCAGACCATGAAATAGCCTAGCATCTAAAGAAGTCAAAGCTCTTTCCAGAACAACCATGGAGAATATTTTATGCAAAGGAGTCCAAGCCTCTTTCTAGAGAAGGGTGATCTGGCGAGGAAACTATAAAGGGTGAAGGGAATAGTTAACTTCACTTGAAGGCAGATGGAATAGTTGAGAAGATATGAGGCTAAAATAGCATAACGGCTTCTCTCTTTTATTTACAGTGCAGGGCAAATAAAACAGTACTTTAAAGAACCAAACGTGAGAAATAAAATTTAAATTAGTAGCTTCAGTGAAACCAGCCACAGGAACAGTGAATAAACACAGAGAGCTGGGCTGAGTGGTGGTTATTTGGGATGTTGTTTGGCATACTCACTTGAACTCTTGTGGGCCAGAGCCCAGGGGCTGAAGAGTTAATGATTAATAAATGGGGGCAAACAAGTCTTATGCTTTCTGTTGTTAGAAAGTTGCTCTAAATAGGATTATTGCCTCACCTTGGCACTGCAGGCAGTGACCAATTTGATTTGATTGCTAATTCTACTGTACAGGCTCTGAGAGAAATGAAATGTAGAACGTTCCATATTTATGGATTTGCCTTACTTCTTTGTATACATTAATGCTTAGAACTGGAGATAGTAAAAAATTTTGGCCAAATTGTGTAGGTATGAATTTCTCTCTCTACCACACATTGGAACAATTAGTTGATGTGTGGAGATGGTATTGAAAGTTTTCTAGCAATGAATGAGCTCTGTGTCCAGGGCTCCTCATGGAATAAGTCTTTGACCGTTCCCTTCCTCCTCTCCAGGTCCTCACCAACCGCCTGAGAGTGGCAGAAGGAGATCGATGCATCATCAGCACAGAACACATTCTGGTTTCTGATGTGGACACCACGCTGGATGGCATCCGGCTCTCCCTGCAGGGTCTGCCTCTGAGTGGAAGGGTGGAGCTACACGGATTTCCTCTGAATGCAGGGGATGTGTTTTCTTGGGAAGACCTCCATACCCTAAAAGTTAGGTTAGAATATTTCATGGCTTTTTCTTTACATACTTGGGCTCCCTTCTGGATCAATCACGAGGCAGGGTAAGGAAAACAAAATGTGTACAGTTCTTTCAGGGATACCAGTGTAACATCTACTAATTTTAAAGAGTGAATTGAAAATTAGAAATGACAAAATTTTTCTTTTCCTCTAAATAGTTGCTTTTCCTTTGGCTTGTTGTGCCACTGGGGATGGCTCTGTGAATATTTGAATAACAAAAACTAATTGCTATGAATATTAAATTTGCTGCAACTGCACATATCACAGGGGGTAACAGTCAAACAAGATGAATAGAGATCGAAATAATCTGTGAGGCTAATCTACATAATTAAACTCCCAGCTCTAAGAAAAGCCAATTTCATAACTCTGGAAACTGGGATAGAACTCTGTTGATCAATGTCATTAGTGAAACCTATTATTTCATTTTGTAGGTGAACAAGCAGGGTGGGTAGGTGGGCTATGGAGTAGTACTCAGATTTCGAAGAGCCAGGGATGGAGAAATCTCTACCTCATGTGCCTACACAGTTCTTACCTTAAGGTTTTAAATTTCCTCTAGTATAGTTCTGCAAGACATTTTTCTACAAAATTTAGTAAAACATCTCTACAAAACAATACAAACTAGTTAAGAAGAATGATCAGGTGAACAGACAACCTAATTTTTCAGTTATAAACTCAAATTATAAATTAAAATCTTGACCCTCTTGATAAATGTAGTAGGAAATATTAGGCATAGTTGACTAGGAATTAAGATTTGTGTGCAAGAGGATCTGTTTAATCCTGACAGTTTAGTTGCATCCTTGATTAACAGTTCCCAGTTTCTTGACCTCTTTTCACTATATACCTATTACTACTAAAATTTCTGTTTTCTTTTTTTCATTTTGAGCTCTCAGGTCTTAGCTATATGTTAGACAGAGAATTCTGTTTAGGCAATTGTACTAGGGAATGAATGATAGAAAAAAAGTACCAGAACTTGCTAGAACTATATGTTAAAGTACTCTAATTAGAGATTTGCAATTAACTATTTATTTTTTTCACAGTAATTAAACCTGGCAAGGTAGAGGATTCAATTCTCATATTATAGTTAAAAACTAAGTCTACAGGGCTTCCCAAGGTCACTTAGCTAGGTACCCACATGAAGGAGTCACGTTTTGAAAGAAGATCTCCGTGACTCCACAGTCACACTTTTGGATGTATGCCCTGAGGTCCACTTGACCATTTAGTGTACTGATAGAGTCAAACAGGATTAGCACATTATCACTCATCAGTCTATCTTTGATGGAAACAGCAGGGAGTATGGCCAAACAGAGCATAGGAGGCTAAGCGTGAGAAGCCTGAGGGTTCCCACAGTTGGATCAGAATCCATACCTGAGTTCCTACTCAGCCTGCTGGTGAAGACTAATCCCAAGTAAAATGCAGTCCTGATTTTTTTCCACTGATGAATATCTTATACGTTCAATATTCTCTACTGTATTTAATGGAACTTTTTTTTTTTTGGTACCAGGGATCGAACTTGGGTCTTTGCACTTGGGCAGCAGGTGGCGAAACCACTGAGCTAAATCCCTGGCCCTTTAATGCAACTTTTACTTTCAACTTCTGGGACTTCCATTTCTTAGTATCTGGAACAGATTATTGAAATTTTGGCTCAATGAATTCAATAGCTATTTAGAATTTACTGGGCATAAATTGCAGTGGGCTGGAAAGTCCATGGAAAGCCTAGAATTAGACAATCCCTTCAAGGAACTTGGCTGAGAATTAAAGGGCGATAGGGCCAAGGGTGATCAAGGAAGGGTGTTTTTAAATCTGGGAGAGAGATTCAAGAACCTTTATAGGTTGAGAGGAAGAGAGCTAGTAAATAGAAGAGGGGAAATGGCAAAGGGGAGGCAATACGTAATTCATGGGTCAAGGTTTAGAGAGCAGCTGGGTAGATTGAGAGTATGGCAGAAGAATTAGTTTTGAAAGTGGGAGAGGGAATCATCAGATCAACATAGCATTCCACTTTTCCTTGTCTGTGACAGGACTTTGGGGTCTGTCTGGCCCCAGCCAGGCTTTTAAGTAGGCAGAGCTGCACAAAGTGGTTCCCATTATCACACAGTCATTGAAGTCCTGCTTTTTGATTTGGGGACAAATCACCAACATATACAACACATTTTCCCAGGGTAGAGCAATTTTACATTGAGGGATACTTGTGTAGTTAAATGTGTGACTTTATCATTATGCTATTTTTGCTCATTCATTCATTCAACACATGTCCAAAACCATGGAAGAACTCTCTGGTCATGCATCATCTCAATTTACTCTCACAGTGTTCTTGAAAGATTGGTTACAAATATTGTCCCCACAGGTATCAACATGATGGATCTGAAGTTCTTAAGGATGACATATGCTTGCAGGTCACAGATGGCACAAATTGGGCAGAATTTGTTCTACATGTTGAGGTGAGTAGAAGATTTTCCTTCAAATAAAGTATCTGTTTTGGAAACTTCTCAGATATAACTTAAAACATACAGAGTCCAAAGCAAAAAAAAAAAGAATGCTTGCTTGGGCCGGGGATGTAGCTCAGTGGTTCCACCACCTGCCTCACAAGTGCAAGGATCCAAGCTTGATCCCCAGTACCAAAAAAATAAAAATAAAAAAAAAGAATGCTTGCTTACACCTTGAGCTAGGCATGGTTATGTTGGTGAAATGGGCATGTTATTCTCTCCAAAGGGCATATTCTTCTCTCCAGTCCATTTAAGGATATAAATACTCAGACCTCAAAACCATATACTTAATTTTTAAAGTAATAGAGCCCATGTTGTCTTAGTTAATTTTTTCTCATTCCTGAGACAAAATTCCCAATACTCAAAGTTAGAGGAGGAAAGATTTATTTGTCTCACAATTTGTAGCAGTTTCAGCCATAATCGGCTAGGTCCAAGGGAGGGTAGCGTGGCAGAGGAGCATTGCAGAGGAGAAACCATTAATGGCAGGCAGAAGGCAGCAAAGTAGCAAAGCAACAAGTGATGACAGCAATCCTTTTTCTGTCCCTTATATTTTATCCAGGCTACCCACCCTTCTTTGGGGGGGGGTAGCACTCACACCCAGGGTGGGGCACCCTTAATCCTAGCATCACACCATGAATAATCAATCCTAGCATCACATCCCTGATCACAGCACCAGATACTCTAGATCCAGCCACCTCTGAAAAGTTCTATCTATGACTACATGAGGCTTTGGGGGACATCTAGACACAAGCCATAACGTGTCTAAATTATTTGTAATTATTTTGAATTGTAATACTCAGAAAGATTGTTTATCAGTTTGGCAAGTTAGCCTAGTACTGTATCACTGAGATTTTCCTTGCTTTTGGAGAAGTCATATATGCAAGTGTGTGCAGCTCTTTTATGAATTTCTGGACCATGTTGTCACGCAGCCTACTTGAGGTTGTTTTTCTCCTTTTTGACAAATAAAGAAAAATATACCCATACAGCTTGAGTACATGCTGAAAGCACTTCTGAGAACTCTACCATTCCTCTGTAGAGTATCTATCAATGTCCATGAGCCTCGTGCAGTCATGGCAGGGGACACTTTTCAGAGGTGGCTGGATCTAGAGTGTATGGTGCTGGGATCAGGGGTCTGTGATTACTAAATTAGTTAACTGATTGGTTTGGCATAGTCTGGCTAGGATTAAGGGTGTGAGTGCTACACCTGCCCTAGGCTAGGTAGCCTGCATAAAATATGAGACAGAAATAGGGCTAATGTACTCTTGCCTGCCTGCTTTCCATGGACGGTTTCTCCTCTGCAGTGCCCCTCATGCCACCCTGCCTTGGAGCAGCTGATTATGGACTGAAACCTCTGTAAACTGTGAGCTAAATAAACCTTTCCTCTTTTAACTTTGAGTGTCTAGTATTTTGTCTCAGCAATGAGGAAAGTAACTAAAACAGTCATTAATAATGTCACATACATCTATTATTTTAAGATAGGCTGGGGAAGACATCATCCTTGCTTCATTCTTAGGCCTAAGAAGATAAGGTGACTTGTCTGAAGTCAAGAATTTGACAATGTAAGTTGGCCTGGCGTCTCCATTCCTTGATACCTAGGCCAGCATCCTCCTCACCAATGCCACATTTCTACCTTGCCAGGTGAATCCACTGCCAACAGGTCCTAGTACCTTTCTGGACCAGGGATGATATGGACCCTTTTCCTTTTATTTCCCTACTTCACCCTCATAACAGCCTTTGAGGTCTTGGCGAAGAGCAATGTGTTATTTCAGCTTCATGAAGGCGTGTTCTCTTTTTCAGCAGACTTACATACACAGAAAGCTCAACTGAAGTGAGTTTTTTTTCCCAAAAAAACAAATTTCAAGGGAAAAAGCTCCAACCCTGTTTTCTATCTCTGACCATCTTCTTATTACTACTGGTAATATGCAGTTCATTTTGGGAAAGGAATCTGTTTATTGCTACTTTTCAAAAAAATGGGCATGGTCTGTGAAGCTGGAAGCACAATTTTGGGGCAAGTGTTTGTGGTCTTTTCATCTAAAAGGAATGTTTTGATTCTTTTCCTTTGGATTTTATTATCCATTTGAATTGATCAGTGAAATTCCTTACAGTCAAAACAATAATAGAAGTCTTTAATGAATTCACATGAAAGACAGGAACAAAGACTTTTTTCTTACTAAGCCAACAGAAAAATAGAGATATTAGATACTGTTTTTATACCTTTGATTAAATAATTAAGCTGGGGTTCTTATCAGCCCATCCCTCTACCCATTGAAGGAAACTGTCAAAATAGTTTCATGTGTATTTGTTTTATACTTGTTAGCTTCTTTAAACAGAAGGATAATTAGAGCATGTATTCAAATTTGTACACATTCATTCCTTTATTCAGCAAATGTTTATGTGTGTTCTTTATGCCATGTCTTAGAACAGATGCTTGGACCACAATAATGAGCAAGGCAAAAAGGGTCCCTGTCTTCTAGAGGTTACAGGCCAAGTATGAAGATAGGAATTCAACAAATCAGCACCAAAATAATTAATTCATTAAAAAACTATATGTATTCTAAAAAATAAACAGGTGCTAAAAGAGAGTAAATAATAGGAGCCCCAAATTAGCTTGAGTGGTCAGGGAATCCACATAGAACCTAAAGTAGTAATTAGCTGAGAAAAAGAGAGCATGCTGGCCAAGAGACAATGCAAAGGCCTGAGACAGTGAGGGCCGTATGCAGGAGTGAAAGTGGAGGGCAGCAGCGAAGGCACCCCACGAATGGTGTGAGTGAGCCACCGGAGGAGCACTGGGAAGCCGCTGAAGGTCCCTGCAGAGCCGTGACATTTGAAAAAGATCCCTTTGGCTGAAGTGTAGGGGAGAGAAATATAAAGGGCTCCCAGACAAACCTGACAGAAAGCAAAGCTCTGGTGGCACACACCAGGTTGTTCCCATGTGTGTCAAGTTGAAACTTGGTTATGCAATTTCACATGCAGCTCAAAGCATCTGAAATGCTCCTGCAGCTTAGTGTGATGCCAGGGAAACTTGCAGGGTAGCAGGAGTTGAGGGTGGAAGAAAGCTTTGTAATCACTAAATCTTTTGAAATAAAAAGACACAATGCTGTGAATGTTTATGCATTAGACCACCAGGATCAGAATTCCTGGTGAATATGCGTGATTTAACAATGGCAGCAGGGGCTGTGGTGAGAAATACTTTATACTACATTTTATTTTTAGTATGTTTGGAAAGGAATGAGAGCTTGGAGTCCCAAACCATAACCAGATTCTCCCATTCCTACCTAAATTGCCTCTCACACGGGCCATTCCCTATAAGATGGTCCATAAGGGGAAAGTTGGAAAATGCAGCCTGCTTGGCTGTATTCCATGGCTGTTGTTTCCTATGACTGGGAGATTGAAAATACCTGTCATTGGGACTATGAGCTATGGGTTACCAGTTGGACAATTTGTCATTTCATTTTGTTTCCTGGAAAATGTGCATCTTTTTTTCTGCATAGGTATTCCCTGTAAATGATGAGCCACCCATCCTAAAGGCTGGCCTCATCCCCATGATGCATTGCTCAGAGGGTGGAGAGGTGGTCATCACTCATGAATTTGTTTTTGCTACTGACATGGACAGTGATGACTTCAAACTGATGTTTTTGATTGCCCGAGAACCCCAGCATGGGGTGGTGAGGAAGGCAGGAGTCAAAGTGGATCAGTTCTCTCAGGGAGATGTCATCTCAGGAGCCGTGACGTACAAACACACGGGTAAGTGACAGCATTGTGAGGAGTGAGGGGGTGCAGGCAGCATGGGAGTCCTAACTTTACTCCTTGGTGTGGGCTCCCATAACCTGACAATGATAATTCATGCTGGTTTACATAAAAAATTATACATCTGCAGCCTGCATCCCATGTTCAAGTATGATCATCATATGCAGAAGCTTTTCTGATCTCAGTATTACAGAGAATTTCAAAGAGTGGAGAAACAACAGTTGTCACTTGCTGCTTCTCTTTTATTCAATTTGAAGAAGACTTTTTGGCCACTGTACCTTATGGATTCAATTTAAATAGAAATGTTTGAAGTTAATCAAGGAAATAATATTATTAATTTCCAAAGTTTGCTGATCATCAGCTAGCTCCTAAGAAGTAAACTAGTCCACTTTTTGAGTTCTTAAAAAGCAAAGACGGTATCTTCCATTTCTTGCCTGCAGCATATGACAGTGTGAACACAGATTAGATGGATCTATAACAAACACTTGTGCATCAGCACCACACTTACATTTCTGGCATCATAGTATATTGTTACTCAGGTGATATTTGTTCTCCATGTGAAGGAGAACAACTAGAGAAAAAACTAATTCAGTGTTTCATACAAGGCACAGCCCCAGGAACTGTGCATCTACATGGAGTGTAATCAAGCCCTGCTGTGAAAGATTTTGACTTAAATGGGTGGACAAACCCATTCACATGCAAAAATGCCAGCGGGACATATCTGCACATCATCATATTATCTCCCCTTGCACATCCTCTGAGGTCTGGGGTAGGATACTTCCTCTGTAATAATACCAGATATTTCCTCTTGCTGGAATTAATTATACACTATTCCAACTTCCTGTTTACTCATTCATATGCCTCTTTAAATTGAAAATTCCGTAGAGGAAGTACAATAGAGTGGATTAGGTCAGCTGAGTGATACAGGAAGAAAGGGCTACCAGAATTCAAGTCACTTTTTTTATTTGAAGAGAGAGAATTCAAGCAGTGAGGTAGGGAGGGATCTGAAGGAGGAGGGATAGAGACTGCTAAGGATTAATTTGGAAATAGGAGAAAACATTTTGATATAATATTTTATATGTATTTTGGAAAACAGTGATTTGTTAGGGAACCAGTTGTCCTGTGGTTGGTTAATATAGGAGCTTCTCCTCTTTTGGTCAGACTTCTCTTCTTTAGGTGATGTCTCACTATCCTTTTATTTGCATGCAGTCTTAGGAATGGTTTCATTAGTTATCAGAACTTCAGTAAATGAAATTGTCACTTAACAGATTTTAAAAAGGTTCAATAGTAGAATTTCCTATGGCTCAACCCAGTACACACACATCTGTGATACTCTGATCACACTGTGTGTCCCTCTTCACCCTGAGACTGTCTGACACAATCTTTTGACGTTTGAAATTCTCCTGAAATGCTTTTGACAGTTATGAAATATCAGCCTTTTTCTCTGTGGGAGCACCCAGGACACTGTTTCATTTTAGGCATTAAATAAATGTTTATCAAGTGAATAAGTGATGAATAAATATTTCAAGCCATTTTTTTTTACTAACGTGAAGAGGGGAGAGCCTCCTTATTTTTGACTTCTCCCAAAGATGAACACAGATTGTTTCTTTCTAACTCTCTGAGCTTCAACCCTGTTTTCCAGTTTATCATCCTTTAATCTTTTAGTTGATCAATAAAATCATCTGTAGGATGTCTTTTGTCATGTTTTTTGAACAGGGAAAATGATATCAAGCACCGTACTCTGCAGATTTGTCCAGTGTACCTGGTGAGAAGAGATGAAGTCACTGATCTTTTGGTTCCTAGGCTCATGGGAGCTCACAGCACTAACTGCTCCCCTCTTGGCAGGTCAAAGGTGATGCCTGAGAATTGAAGAGTGCATGAGCAGGGCTTTCCTGTCCCCAGAGAGCAAGTGCTCCTATGCTATGCCCTTGTGTTCAGGAGACGTCCTGTGTGCTAATAAGTTATAGAATTTTCTGCCTTCTTCCTCTTGCTGTTCAAGCTGGGGTCATTTTGAATCTTACACAGTAAGACTAAAATAAAGCACAGAGAAGAAAATGAAAGTAAATGCCACTTCTTCTCCAGGCATAGTTGCTACTTTAAAAAAAAAATCTTGGCTACTATATGAAATGGATATATTGAAATAAATGACCAAAATGGGGGTCGCCATTGTTCTTCACCTACTCAGAGACCTCTGTTTCGTGTAACCACTGTATGGTTGCTGGTTATTTATTTAAGATGGTTAATACAAATGGAAAGACAATCATCAAAGGGACAAGGGCGTGACAAGGGTGCTTTCTACTTCTCCCTGAGTTTGATCCTAATGCTAAAGGATTATGAGGGAAGAATGAAACCACCACCAGTCAAGCTTCGTGCCTTTCCCTTGTTCATCTGTGAACTGTCAGACCCTTGTTAGCCCTAGGTTGCCCTCCATATGGTGGTAGATGGCTGGCAGAGCTTTCACTGGAGGCAACAGATGGACAGGCATTTTTGCATTATTTTCACGACTATATTTAATGTCATAGTGATAAAATTGGGTTTTACATTTTATCCACATAAGTTCCTTCCCTTGTCTTCAGTGCTTGCAGAAGAGGTGTAACTAGACTTCACCTTGGTTTTCTATATTTTAAAAAAGTCAGGTTTCGGCCATCATTGTATCTTCCAGGTGGCGAGGTTGGCCTGGTGCCTTGTTTTGACACCATTGCATTGGTGGTTTCGGATCAAGAAGCTGGCCCTTTTGTAAATGACTGTTGCTACAATGGACCTAATCCATCTGTTCCTCTTCATGAGTCCTTTCCAATGTATGATCTCAACATCACAGTACATCCAGTAGACAATCAGCCTCCTTCAATTGCAATAGGTGACAATTTTTTTGTTGTTGTTAAAGTACTATTATCTTACCTACTGTTGTAGCTGTGGGCCAGTGAAATAATATACTTTATTTACAGGCAAAATACCATAAACAATTGCCTTCTAATAATTGCCTCAATAGAAACTTGTAGAAAACCCCAAATCTATAAAAGCTTACAAGGCAAAAGAATTACTTAGTTAAATATTAGGAGGGAGGGAAAGAAAAGGAGAGAGAAGGAGACAGAGAACACACATGCTTTGGGACAAGGACAACACTGGAATTCTAAAATATTCTGGTTTTATTTCACATGGGAAAATATAAATTTCTGCCTGCTGGAGAGTGATTTATTTTATCCATAATAATTTCTATTAGAATGAGTATACCAGAGAGACCGTTTATATACATTTAACCTTATTTGCTTTTTAGAAAGTCGTCTCTTCATAAGCGTTATGTATATGTTCTGTCTCTCAGAAAAAAAAAATCAGCATATGTATGAATGTTATTGTAATTTGCAAACTATCTCCCAAGCAATGTTCTGGAAAGGAAGCATTATCCCAGCAGAATAATTAAGCACCAGGCACGAAAAATGTTCGTTATGAGCAATTCATAATAGCTCTCAGGCAATTAACACTCTGACAAACAGAGGTAACAACTGATCTTGAAGAGTACATGCACTACATTTAGCGGCTTATCATTAAAACAGTTTGGCAATTCTTATTTTCATTTGTCACCTCTGTAGAGACTCGAGGGAAATCAGAGTTCTTTGAGAATGGGTGAAGTGCTGTACTGGAGCATTCAGTATTTTTTTCTGTCTTACCATTATTATGTGGCTTGCTTGTACAAGAAAAACAACATCTCCACAAGTCAAATTAAATTCCACCCATTATCCCTGAATATTTTCACTGTAAAGAGAATTATGCCAAAGGAAATGAACATCTCCCACAGAAATGTGTTTGCATGAGGGAGGCTTTTCGGAATTGAAATTTCGATGGTTCCCTTTGTCCTCACTTTTCTGGTCAGAAGGTTTCGTGCTAAGGCCTAATTATATCGTTATTTGTGCACAGGTTCCATGTTTGTCGTAGATGAGGGGTCCTCAGTGGCCCTTACCATTCACCATTTGTCTGCCACCGACCCGGACACTGTTGCAGATGACTTGGAATTTGTTTTGGTTTCACCTCCGCAGTTTGGCTACCTTGAAAACACGCTCCCTTCTGTGGGGTTTGAGAAAAGCAATATGGGGATCAGCATAGGTAAGTCATGGTCGCATGACCCGTGATAACACTTTTTATGGATATGATTGGTCAGATCACATCTAGTATGGAGAATGAAAGGAGATCGGAAATGTTCATAGCACCATATACACTCAAGACATTATTATAGCTGATACTTTCACATCTTATTATTGTTCATTTTAATTTTTATTCTGACTTTTCCATGCATGCAAGTTTATACCAAGATAAACGCAAATTCACTTGTGGAAAATATGAGAATAAATGCTGAAGAGAATGTTTCTAAAGGCTCTCATAGAATTAATCTGGTGGGAGCTCACAAGGTGTCAGTCTCACGGCTTTTTAGCATTTTTAATAGATATTGGTACAAAAGCTTGGAAAATATATAGTGATTGTTACCACAGAGAAAGCCTGAGACATTGGAGCAGATGACATTAATTTTGAAACCAAAATGCGTCTCATATTTAAATAGCTCTTATATTTCAGGCAGAGACTAAACAAACAAAACAAAAATAGAAAGCAAAAGCAAAATTTTCCAAAGGCAACATTGTATAAGTAAAGGATTCTCCAGTCCCTTTTGAGGCATATTTTTTTAAGTGTGACAGATAATTGGATTTCAGATTAATTGCTTTAAAGGTTACCCAATTTTTCCTGTGACTTAGTCCACAACTTAGAGTATTTTTTCTCTTTTGATTTCAGTCCACATCATGATATCTAAATATCAGGTCAGCTAATCCCAGTTAAGGCACATCAGTTGCTTGATGTGCCCGCCAAGCGTGAAAGGTGCTCTCTTTCTCACCCAAGTATGACAAGCACTGCTCATGCAGAGGCAGCGGTTTAATCAAGGGGCAGGGTCCCTGGCATTCATTCCAGCACTCTGAAGAGTGGTCATAAAGTCCCTGTGCATCTTGGTTAGCAGTCATTGCTTTTGTGTCTTTCATGCAAATTTGAACCCTTCTGTGTGATCTATGGGTATCTGCTTTTATCTTGGTGATTGGCGGGTGTTGTAGCAACCTCTGATCTCTTATCTGCCTTCCTTGTTCCGTGTTGGTGTGCTCTAGCTTCCTTTCAGTGGAAAGACATGAAAGCTTTGCACATTAACTATGTGCAATCCAGGCATCTGAGGATAGAACCTACTGCCGACCAGTTCGTGGTGTACGTCACAGATGGGAAGCACCGCTCCCTGGAGGCACCGTTTTATGTTATGATCAACCCCACCAATGATGAAGCCCCTGACTTCGTAGTACAGAATATTAGTGTAAGAAACATATTGGAATATTCCCTTTCTCTTACTGTTTTCTGACTTTTATTTTCACCTAGTCCATTTGCATTGTTGTAGGTGTGTTTAACACATTAAATTGGTGATGAGTAGGGAAGGCATATCCTGCCATGTAATGCAATCAGTTGGAAACTATGTATTAATTTATTAATAGCAATAGTAATAATAATAAAAGTAGTTACTAGCTTATAGCAATTGCATGTATGCTACTACTTGATTACCTATATATATAGGATGGAGCACTTACTAGGTTGTAGGCTCTAAAACTTTACATGTATTCAACTTAATTCTTGTGTTAGGCTTTTAAGGAGATGGATGGCATTATTTTATAGCTATTTCATAACTGAAGAAATGAGGCAGAAAGGGACTAAGTAGCCTGAGTAATTTGTGTATTCTTGAAATGTGTACGTGTATTGTGATTTCTCTGTGTTTTACTTACAAATAAGGGATAATACAATTTGTACTACTTTGCCTTTTACTTTCTGAAAAAAACCCTAATTTGTGTATAGTGGAAATCTTTTCATATCACTATTTAATTCTTTTTAAACAATTATATAACATTTGTGATTATTTGGTTCCGATATATGTATTAGCAAATTCTAGTGAAATGAAATGAATGCAGGCTTTGGAAACAGCGAGACTTGGCTGTTGCTTTTAATAGCTGTAAGATCTTGGGTAGGCTGTTTCTCTCTGCACTTCCATTTCCTCACCTGCAGATGCCTATCAAGTTTTTCTGAGGTGTAGTCATGTTGACCAAGATGGCCAAGCACCGTAGATCCATAACGAAGATGTGCCATCATTGCTATCTTTGTCATTTTTTATGATAGTGATCAAAGCCCTCATTTGCCTTTTTTAAAAATAAAAACAATCACTTTGTAAACATGAGAGTCTTTATTTGATTCTAATTTCCAACTGAAGCTTAATGGTACAAGAGTCACCTCAGCATGAAATTTCAGAGCCGGCTCCTTCCTGCCTCTCCTCTTCTGTTGGCACATGGGTTTCTCTGGAGAGCCCTTCAGTAATTATATGTGAGAAAAGAAAACTGTAGATGATTTCTTCTCTGCCTACCTCTATTGTCTTGTATCTGTCTAGGGTAGGGGCTTCTGAAATAATTAGGCCACTGGGAAGTTGTACCTTGCTCTCCCCTGGAAGGATTCATGCTTCTTACCTGTGTGCTCCTCAGAGAAGCTGTTGTAGAGTAACAAATACAGAGCCCCTTGTTTCATTGGTAGAGCTGAATTTAAGCTTCAGAGGATTTTATTTTTTATGATAACCATATTTTTGCTTTCTGGAGAAAAAAAAATCTGTTTATTGTGTAGTGTTATGGCTTGTGTCTAGATGCCCCCCCAAAGCCTCATGCAGTTATAGGTGGGGCTTTTTTTTCAGAGGTGGCTAAATCTAGAGTGTGTGGTGCTGGGATTGATTCGTGGTGCAATTGTAGGTTCAAAGGGACTGGGATTAAGGATGTGAGTGCTACCCACCCTAAGAAGTCTGGATAAAAGGGACAGAAAGATGCTGTTAAGGTCCCTTGTTGCTTTGCTGTGTTCTATCTGCCATAAGCTGTTTCTTCTTTGCCATGCCCCTCTACCTTGGAGCAGCCGATTTTGGACTGAAACCTCTATAAACTGTGGGCTAAATAAAATTTTCCTCCTTTAACTTTGGGTATTGGGCATTTTGTCTCAGCAATAAGAGTAACTAAGATGTAGGTAGTTGGACTTTCATCAAATTGTGCTGCAAAAGAGATTAAAGGTGTTAGTTTAAATTATAATCCATTCTAAACTTATCTACTAGTAAGGGGCATTTTATATATATTGATCTAAATTTTTTATTGTTGTATTCCCCCCAATCCCATTTTTTTCAATAACATTTCCTAGTAATGTTGTGAACAAAGTCACTGTTCTGTAAATCAGAAATGTTGCCACACTGTGAGTTAAGGTAAATAAAATCTTTATAGTCAAGCTCTGCAAAGAATAATGCAATGTGTTTCTAAGTGGCTTTATTAAAGTTCATGTGGAAAAAGGTGAGTTACCATCAAAGAATTTCATGAATATATCATTCTGAATTAATCGATGATGCTGACTTAGTCGTAATAAGTTAAAAAGAATTAGTATCAGTTTAGCCAAAGTATCCTTCGTGGTGAGTAATTCCTTATGAAGTTCCATAAAAAGTGATTGCAGGAAGGATCCCTTCAAAGTCAACGAGAGAGGTGAAAAGAAAGGGTGCTTTCACAATTCTGCGCCATATGTATCCTTCAAGATGGCACCGTGGTACCCTCAGCCCTGAAGACTTCCAATATCCTCCATGCTCGTGTGCTTCTTGTCTGTCGATGCCTATCAGTGCTAGACATTTTCTTCCTTGTGCTGTATGATGGACAGGCAGCCCTTCAGTCTCCCCTGACGCTTATTCTTGAGAGTACAGCGTGCAGCATGGTGACAGCGTAGATTCGCAAGAGGAGTGTGTAGAATTTGTATACTTCTATTACTTCGATCTAGCCATATTTTAAAATAGAAAATAAAATGATTCCTTTGTTCTCTCTATTCTCACCATAAGAGGAAGAAAAGGTCAAGACAGCTAAGTACCACCTGGTCAAGTTCTGAATGACTAGATCCTACGTGAAATGAAAAGCATTCTACTCTCTCTGTGGCTAAAGGATTGTGACGCCTGAAGTGAGGTATAAGGAGAGTTGGAGAAATGGTTCAGGAGAATCAGAAGAGAGAGTTTAGGGGGGTGAGAGAGCCAGAATCAAAAGAAACACTAGAAATATCCTTCCTGATTGTTGACTGCAATGAAATAAGAAGTTTGTACTGTAAATAAAAATGAAAACCACCAATTATACTTGGTGTGCGTAGCAGATATTTCAGCTATTTCTAGAGCAGTTAGAAACATTGAAAATCATAGAAGTTCAGGAGATTAAAATAATAGATTGGTATCTGAAAGCGGAGATTCTAGTTTCAACTTTACAATCTTTGAAATCTTTAGAAAAATGTGAGGGCACTTAATAGATTTCATATTTCTCTTTATGTTCCTATTAAATCAGCAATTTCTTTTTGAGATTCATATATATATATATATATATATATCTTTGAAAAACTGCAATAGGCTTATCTTCAAGTGAAATTTTTTAGCAGTTTGTCAAAAGAAACTAATAGACAAGTTCTGTTTCACATACAATGGACTTCCTGCTTGTTCCATCCAGGTGTTTGAGGGTCAGATGGCCGAGCTGGACTCGTCTGTCCTCAGCGCTGCTGACCTTGACGTCCCCAAAGACCTCTTACTGTTCATTGTCACTCACCAGCCCCATCACGGCCTCCTCGTCAACAGGGTGTTCAGCAAAGACTCGCTTCAGAACAAGCAGCTGGCTGGCCCTGACCAGAAACACGAGCTCGTTCACAACTTTTCCATGGAACTATTCAAGTGTGGTAATTCACATCCCACTTTTACTCAGTTGTTGTTGATTTAATAACTTAGCTTCCACTTGGACGTGGACCCTAAAGAAGCTGAACTCATACAAGCAGAGAATAGAATGGTGGCCACCAGAGGCTGACGAGCAGAGGGTGTGGGAGGTGGTCAAAAGGTACACGGTTTTACTTAGGCAGGAGGGGTATGCTGAAGACACCTGCTGATCATCCTGGGGACGAGAGTTAATGACACGATATTGCATACTTGAACATTGCTCAGAAAGGAGTTTTTAAGTGTCCTTACCACAAAAATTGGCAAGTATATGAAATAACATGTTATTTAGCTTGATTTAATCATATCACAAGGATAAAGATACAGATACAGTTGTACACCATAAATACATACAATTTTTTGTCAATTTAAAAATAATTTAGCCCATAGAAGATAATAATAAATCTTAGAGATATATGGTAATGAGATAACGTTCCTGCTTTATTTATCTGTCAGCAGTGGCGGTGAACCTATGGCACGCATGCCACATTAGGCTGTTGGTATCATTGAAAGCTCTAAAAGGTTTGCCATCACTGTTAGGGTTATTTTTGAGCTGTGAATTAACATAGAGCATGAAGCCCCAGTTAGAAATAATAGATAATTTAAAAAGTAATAACATGGTTTTTTTTCACTTGTGATTTTGGTAGTTTAGTGCAAGTTTTTAATGTCATAATAAAAAATTCCTTTTAAAAACTATTGGGATCAATAGTTGGGATTAAGAAATTTGTCTGCCAAAATTTCCACAGTTGAAACAAATATAGAACCATATATAACAAACACTCATGAGCTTCTCAGAAGATAATTTGCTTTTGAGGGAAATGAAACATTTGAAATAGAAACCTGAATTATTTCTTAATCACTGTTTTAAAGAAAATGGTCTTATCTCATTTTCTACATATAAAAAGACTTTCAAAGATTTGGTTGAATTGTGCAAAGTGTTCTAGAATGTCTGCCTACTCACATTCTTCCTTGTCCTCCTCGTGTTTTGTCTTCTCAGCCTGGAGGGTCCTGGCCCTTCTGGTTTAGCAAGACAGTGCCTTCTGCATGTGGCTTTCTGCTCAGCTCCTCCTGGATCCCCAGACCCCTTCTTCTCTGCACTGGCTTCATGTTAGCACTTGTTTGGCGTTTTCCTATTGCCTTTCAGTTATTTGTTTCTGCAATCAGAGTGTGGGTTTTCCACCCCCCCGCCAAGTTTATTTTGTAATAGTTGCACAATATCACCTCATGTTTGAATTTGAAAAGCTAATTCATATATTTCTTGGTTTCTATCAATTGCAATGAAATAAGTTCTGGAGCTCAAGTGATGATATGACCCAAAAACTGCATAATGCAAAAAATAGAATATAATGTTACAAATATACTTTAATTTCAAATTTAAGACAAAGGAAAAAAATAATGATTCAAACTTTACTCTCAGGAAAAGTGTTATCAGGTTTGCTATTATCAGGTTAAATAAGTATTACATCCTCATTGTGTACATAATCGCTTTGAAGAAAAATGAAAAATGTTCACATACATTAATACTTAGGTTAATATTTTAGTGACAGTCTAGAAATTAGATTTTTTACCTCTACTTTATCTTTGGTTCATTTTTACATATGTTAAAAAAACCCTAGATATTCTCTCAAACATCCCTGCACATAAATATGTAGAACTTACAAAACTGCTACCATCTCATGTAATCTTTTTTCCTTATGAAATATAAGAATTTTCTTACATTTTGAATATTAATTGAAAATATAGTTTTTCATAAGTATACTTTCTTGTTTCATTTTACAGTGTTTCTATGGGTGTCCTGAACTGTAATTTTATTCTTTAATGGATTCCTTTAGAAGCTTTATTAGTACCTGTTTGCAGTACATGACTATGTTCAGCATGGGGACTGGCACATGCATAGAGTGCACCTTAATCTTTCTTCCATCCCCCTGCCCCACCATGCTCCCCCCATCTAGCCACTCTTGGTCCCCTTCCCTTTCACAAAAGATCTATGTCCCAGTTTCCTATTTTTTTAAAAAACTTGATTTCAATGTAATACAAGTAGAACTATGTTGTTTTTCAAGATAATTTTGGATATTCAGAGTTTCTTGCATTTCTATATGAGTATTAGGTAGGTTTTAAAAATATAGTTAAATATAGTTTTTGTATTTAAGTTTCAATCTACTTAGAATTTGTAGCTGGTAGTTGGCTCAAGATAGGGCTCTAATTTTCTAATTTTCCTCCAGTTGTTCATTTTTTTACTTTCATTTAAACACACCAACAACTAATAAATTCTTTCCATACTGATTTTAAATTAAGACCCTATTAAATTTTAAATTATTTAAGCAAAAAATCTTTAATTGGCTATGAAGTCAGTCCTTTATTTCACAAACCAATTTCAGAAATTAGAACAGATTACTTGTGATGTGTTGGGATGGTTCAAGCATGAGAAAGATTTACTTTCCCTCTGGCTTTTCCTTCTTGCAGGAATGAGATTGACATACATGCATGATGACTCGGAGAGCCTTGCTGATGACTTCACAATCCAGCTGTCTGACGGGAAACACAAGATACTTAGAACCATTTCAGTAGAGGTTACCCCAGTCAATGATGAGAAACCAACACTGAGCAAGTAAGCTTCCTGACAAGAGTTCCTTTCAGATTTCTGTAAAATCCTATGAAGTCTGGAGCACTCCGTATAGAGGGCATGTGTGTGCCCTAAGAAGCAGCCCCTCTTCCACAGTTCCCTGCTGTCACTTGTGCTCTGCCCGAGACACTGGGAGCCTTCAGTGCAAATGCTGGTTTAACATTATCTCTGTTTAACAGTTAGATTTTGGATGGTACTGGGGACTGAACCCAAGTATGGTAGTTTGGATCACAGGAGCATACCACCACACATGGTGATTAATCCTTTAATTATCTGATTTTCTTCTCTAAAAATTCGAATTAGGTATGAAAAGTAAGAACGACTGAACATACAGGATAGAATGTGCATTCTACTAATCATGTAAACACACGCACACGCTCATCAAAGTGCAGCTGATAGACAGATTCAACTGAAGCGTGCTCCTGTTAGCTGCAGCTAGTCCTCACATCGGCTTGGTCAGGCATGCAGCTGTGTGTTCAGTCCCTCTCCTTCATCATCTTGTGCCCCTTGGTCTCCCACTCCCACATTTCTGCTGTGCTCCATATCAGAATCAACACCCCTGTACCTCATGTCAAAATGAGCACTTTAAACATTCTGCTGTTCATAACCACAGACTTTCTCATGACCTCCCTCTCTAGCTACTCAGAGTTTGACTGTAAGGTTCAGAGTTGCGTATGTCTAGTTCTGGCCATTACTTTCACACCTGGCAACTGTACAGAACTGTGCAGAATGTGAGGAAGCCCTGCTCTTCTCTAGGGCTAGGTGTAGATAAGTGTCTGGCTCCTAGACAGCGTTACCTCTTTATTCAATGGTGCACCAGTGAGAGGCATCAGGTGGGCAGTCTGAGTTTTTATCAGGAACTGAACAACTTCCTGAAAGTACATAGAACTCCAAAGTGTCCTGCATGCTGCAGAGAAGGAGACCTCAAAGAAGTCCCTTCCTTATCATGCCTGCTCACTCACTGTTCCCTTGTGAGCCATCAGGTAGGTCCTTAAAAATCATCATGGATTTCTTAGCATGAAGGAGGCCCTAGGTTTGAGGCCCAGGGTGACAAAACAAAAACAAAAATGGAAAAGCATTATGGGAAATACTGATGATAAGTTTTTGGAGGATTGTTTTACAGACATCGACTTGACCAACAGTATTTACCACAAATTTCTTAAGTCGTTATTCCCTAGTTGGAAGGGCAGACTGGTTTGGCTTTGATTTACATAGGTGAAAATATTAAGGGTATTGCAATATTGCAGATCCTTTCCCTAATTATTTTACTTTATGAGAGGGCAAGGAGTGACAACTGGCATCTATTAAGTGCTTACTTTATGACAGACATTGTGTTAGATCCTTTCACATATTATTTAATTAAATCCTTACACAAACTGGGGAAATCAGGTATCACTGTCCTCACCAAGAAAAGCCGGGATCAGAGAGGTAAAGCTGCTCACACCAGGCATCCTCAGCTCTGACTGACTGACCCCAGAGGCCACATTCGTGCTACCAAACCTCCCGAGACAGCCACATCTACAAAATCACCAAGCCTCTGCCTCAGAAATCCCTTCTTTTATGACCTGAAAGTAGATGATGGGCTACTGGGAGAAGGAGAGGAGAATGGATCCAGTTAATCCTTTTTCGGGGGTGGGTAGGGAGGGTGGATGCAATCAAAGCGTGTTATGTATGTGTATGGACATGTCATATGAACTCCATTAATTAGTACAATTAATCTGATTAAATAACCATAATAATGTTTAAGGAGGCTATAGCCACCTCTTTCCCCCATCATACAGTCACCAGCTCAATTCTGCGCTACTGTGCATAACAAAGTGACAAAAGGTCCCTCAAGGAGCCCCCTTGAATTCATACCAGATTCTCTTTTGTAATCAACCAACTCTTATTTTTTGAATGGTTATAACTATTTCTCCTACTTTTAGGAAAAACCAGTAGATGTTTACTACCAGGCATTCTTATTTACAATTAAGTGCATTTCTGCATACAGTCTTTAACTATGTAGTTGGTTAAGGAAGAAAAAAGGAAGAAGAAGTATTAAACCAGCCATAATAAAATAATAGGAAAGCAGTAAAAAAATAAATTTAAGAAAAGCAGAAGACTCAGCAAATGTAATATTGCTCAGCATTAAGACTGTCTGACATTATTATCCATTTCAGTGTAACTTTTTATATTAGCTGCATTGTTTTCATTAGTAAGTTTACACGTAATACACTGTGTTAGCAACGTATTCTACTCATTCTGGAACATGGCAATAAAATCTGATCATGAAGCTCATTAGTAAATTCTAGTGATTTTTAGTCATTTAATACTGAAAAATTAAACATGATATTCTCATTGTTATTTTGCATTATGATTCAAAATATGAAGTACAATTATAAAAACTAAAAGATTAGTTTATCTACTTAAAACTCTCCTTATTCTTTTCTTTACAAAACTATCTTTTATGGGCCGGGGATTTAGCTCAGTGGTTTCGCTGCCTGCTGCGCAAGCGCAAGGACCAGAGTTTGATCCCCGGTACCAAAACAAAAAAAACCCCTATCTTTTATTTTTAATTGACACAACAGACCCTATTTGTGGAATGCAGTGTGTTGTTTCTATACACGTCTACAATGTTTTAGGGTCAGGTCAGGGTAATTGGGATATCTGTCACCTCAGGTATTATCATTTTTTTTCAAAATCTCTCCCTTTCCTTTGCCTTCTTATTTCTTCCTCTCCTGTGGACAGGAGGTGATGCTTTCCCTTTCCCTTCCAGTTGTGTCCTTGAGTAGATCACACCTCATCTCCTCCACATTTTAGTATTCTGTTATTTGTTCCCTCTTGCATCTTTGATTTCTCCCTTTTTGTTCCTCCTGCTGATAGACACGGATATAGTTAGCGGTCAAGCGAGCAAATACTGGAGTCAGATTGGCTCAAATTCCCCACTTACCAGTGATCAGACCTAGAACAGCTCGGTCTGCATCTCTGTTAAGCTCTGTGTTGATGGCGGTGCTGTCAGTATCCTCTTCATGGGGTTGTTGCAAAGACTACATGAATCAAAATATGTAAAAGTGCTTGAAAGACCAGCTAGTACACATGAGCGACCATAAATGTTCACGTCATCATTATTGCAAGCCGCTATTCTCACTCTAAAAATACAGAGGAGCCCCGTCGCTCTCATTCATTTCACTGCCACACCTTTTTTTTTTTTTTTTGGTACCAGGGATCGAACTCAGAACCTTGCACTTGCGAGGTAGGTGCCGGAACCACTGAGCTCAGTCCCCGGCCCATGCCACACCTTTTGGAAGAGCAACCTGTGTGGCCTCTTGGATTTCTGCCTACTGCCTCCAACCTCTCCATTAAAGCTGTTGCCTTTAAACTACCTTCCGTTTCCCCATGTAGTCTCTTGCCCTTCTCCCATACTAGAGAGTGCTGCAGCATTTGACATGGTTATTTTGTAGTTCTTTGAGGTCCTACGGCAGGTGCTCTGGTTCACTTGGCCCCTTTCTTCTTCCGCGTGCCAGTGGCACATCCTGAGGAGGAGGAGGGTCCATGCCCGGCCCCAGGAGCCCGTGGTGCCTTGCTGCACATTTCCACTGCAGGCTGTCTCTGAGCTGCAGTGGCTAGTGCAGTCCACACCCAGGGATAGCAGAGAGCTCTGTGGGATCTGCCTTTATCCCTGGGGACAAGTGGATAAGATAAACTTCCCAGCTTCCTCGCTTCCGGAAGCTTAATCTGAGTCACATTCTGCATGGTTTGTTAAATGATCCCCAGTAGCTGAGCATAGTGGCATGTGCCTGTAGTCCCAGCTACATGGGAGGCTGAGGCATAAAAACTTCTTGAGCCCAGAGGTCAAGGCCAGCCTGGGCAGGATTCTGTTTCTTAAAAAAATATAGCTTCCTGGGAATACTTTCAAAATAAATTACTCACACCACCATCCTTGTCCCAAGGCCCCTTTTAGGGTAACCTAGATTATTGGGACTCTTGTCTTCTCTGATACTTTTTCCTACCAAACCATTTATCTTCTTAAGCACATCAGCTTCCTGTTTTCATTAATCTATTTCTTTGTATAAATGGTGCCACAAATCTCAGTAAGCTCCCAACCAACAGATTCGTTAGTTTTCTAGAGTTATGGGATTAGTATTCTCCAGTAAAGAGGTAGGTGAAAATCTACTATTGCCTGGGAAAACGTTAGTCCTGGGTGGGTGAAACAACCCCTCCCTGAGTGAGGGAGGCTGTTACCGGAGATATTCAGGCATTGGCTTCTCAGGAGAGGAACCGAAGGTGGCTGGAGCCAGTTGGTGCTACTCAATGTCCTTGATTTGGGCCCCAAGAAATCCAGGTACCCAGTGTCTCAGAAACAAAGCTGCCAGAGTGCAGCCACAGCCCAGAGCCTGATACACTGGTGGAAAGAGATCCATTGCCCACTTGGTTGATACCAGAGAAGATGCTGAATCATCTGTGAGTGCAGAGGCCCTGCAGAAGCAGTGTCCAGGGTGGAAGCAGCAGCTGCCCCTGCCTGGCTGCTTGATGCACCAGTCTACAGGTCACTATATCAGGAATCAACCAGTTGACAGCCCTGGTGCTGGGATGAGGTGCCTTGCTGCAAACTGAAGCTTCCAGAGCATTAGTGGGGAGAGGATGAGTAACATGCAGGGTCACAGATTACCTAACGGCACCAAACTCAGAATGCCATATCCCCAAGGGGACCGGCGCACTGGGTGCAGTATGAGTCAGTCAGTTAATGTCTCTCAGTGAGTTTCTGTCTGTGAATTAGAATGATGGCTCCTGGCCCGCTTACTACATGGCACTGTTACTGTCAAATGCAATATTGGAAAGAAGTTATTGCACAGAAGTTCTACATGTGCAAAAGCAATTGGAAATGTTACCTAGTACCCTATTTATTGTTGCTATCTCATTGTTCTTTCAGACTTGAACACGTGAAGTGAAAGAATTCACTTCATGTGTCTACTAGTCACTCAGTACAGTGGATATTGAATATCACTGCTTAACCGTTGAAGGTGGGGAATGTAGCAGTCAGTACAAGTGCGCTCTGATAAAGTAATGCCTCCCACTTTCATATCAACTCAGGTGTTTTCCTTTTTTTACAGGAAGGCTGAAATTGCAATAAATATGGGTGATACTCGTATTCTTTCTAGTGCTGTTCTTTCTGCCACAGATAAAGACTCGCCTAGGGAGAAGATTTACTATTTATTTGAAAAACTTCCCCAAAATGGGCAACTTCAGCTTAAGGTTAGTGGCCCTTTTCCCTTTGTTTTTCAAAACTAATGCAGCACACATACATTTTCTGAACACACACATTCATATAATTGTATTTATTCTTAAATAGCCATATTTTGCCCAGAAGTAGAAAATTTAATTTTCCTATACCACAGTGAACTCATGCTCTTTTAAATTTTCTTAGTCTACTAAGAGTAAATTCAACCAGTATTAAGATTCTTCATTGCTCCCTTCCTGGATTATCCCTAAATTCTGAGGGAGGGAGTTTCTGAACTAAAGTAAGTTATCTGGTTCTGAGGAGAATCCAGCATCTTTTAAGATGTTTTCATTCCCACCGCTTTTTTGTGGGAGGTATGATCCATATGACTTTCCTCTTTAGCATCCATTACCTCATAGAAATACTTCTAGTCTAAGAAATCAGCACCACCCCCCCATCCTTCATTAGGTAAGGAACCATAAAAATTGATTATTCTTTCATGACAATCAGGCCTAGGAAAATTTGAAGCTCTTTCTGCCCTGGTTTCCCAACAAATAATGTTTCTGTCCTTGTGACACTGTACCTTGTGACACTGTGGGGACCGAGGGCAGAGGACCCTCTTTGTTCAGACTCCAAATCTTGTCTGAGTGTTGTCACTTCCTGCCTTCTCAGTGATCTGCAGCAAGGAACAGCTGTCTTGATTCTTTCCCAATACTCGTCTTGCTCCCTGAGCAGGTAAAAGCCTGATCTCTTGTCCAGGGAGACAGCTCACACTGCAAATAGCAAATGCACTAAGTTATTCTGCATTTTGTTTGGGGTGAATTTAAAAGCTGAAAGCTTGGTGTCTTTGTTCTGCAGCCCCACAGCCTTTGCTGCTCTAGAGTCCTTAGGCTGATGCTGGTGTGCGCAAAGCTTGGAACCAAAAGGCACATCTGGGGCAATTTCACATGGGGGTCATCCCACCCCACTAAAGTCTGTCTGATGTTAATAACCATTTTGTTTGAATCCAGCAAAATCCAACATTACACAGTGAACTGACATTCATGGGTTTGTGTATGTCCTGGAAATGACTTGCTTTCTTGGAAAGCAAAAAAGCAGGAAAACTGCAGGAGAGAGCAGAGGTCAGGTCACATGGCTCTGTGGTGACTCTCCCAGCAGCTGGATCATGGGTCAGACCTTCTGTTTCAGCATAGTCCTAGAATAGCAAGATTTCACCCTGACTCAGACTGTGCACATGATGCCCAAGGATTAGCCCAGCCCAAATTATAGATCAGTCCCTTGGAAAGGTCAGCTGAGGAATCAAAGTGTTCACCTAGTGGTGTATTAAGACCAGCAACATCCACCAGCCATCCCCAATGTGATTATTTCACTGCATGCTTAATTCTTAATGGAATGAATGTAGGCACAGTCCTAGAAAAGCAGCAAGGATTCATTCTGTGTGGAACAGCAGCTTGATTGTCTTAGATTGTAGGCACCATAGAGAATCAGAGTGAAGAGCAATCACTGATTTAAATTGAGGTACAGCTGTGTCCTTATTTCATTTCAAAGAGTAATGAAGCAGAAATGCAGCGAAAGCTCACACATTTGGGTAGCTTGGGAACTGAACTGTTTTGGATATGTGAAAATCCAGATGGGTCTGGATTCCCACTAGGGCTCCACAGCAGTCCCTGCACCTCCTGTGGGGCTCCCGAGGCTGTCTCAGACTGGGGACCAGAAATTCAGGCCTCCTGGACTTTTGTTTTTTGTGGGCTTTCTTTGGTTTTCTCATTTTGAGTCTGACTTTCATTTGAGTTTCATTTTCTTCCTCAGTTGATTATGTCAGGTCAAACTCACTTGTGGGGATGTAAGTGAGGAATTAGATGGAGATAAAAGACAGCAAACAGTGTCTTCTATATTTATTTTCTTGGACAAGATTGCAAAGAGGAAAAAGTAAAATTGCAGGCCGTCTGGTTTAAAACCTGAAGGAGAATCTGTTTGAAAACTTATATTTTTAAATAGATCTTATAATAGAAACAGATACTGAACTTAACTATAATAGTGCAGTTAACTTTTGCCCACTAAATCCTGGGGCAGAACATGCATCTGTGAACACTAGAGGGGCAAAAATATTAAAGAGGAAGAAGCGTTATGAAGCAGAATGACACAAAGACAAGTGGTAGCACAATATGGAGAGAGGAAGACCTGGCTCTTTTGCCAGAAAGTGGGAATCTGCAGCATAATGTATCAAAGGGAAATGAAAGCGAGTGATTTAAGTTTCTGTTTCAGTCTTTTAAACCAGACAGGAAAAGTACAAGATATTTTCATATTGTAAGTGTTTTAATTGATATTTTCCTTGCATTACATGAAATGACTTTTTATGACATAGTTTTAGAGAAAACTATGTGTGTATCTTAAGACAATAGCAATGGGATTATTAATAAGATAAAATGTATTAATTCACTTATAATATTCTCAGTTGTTAGCTAACTGCTGGCACAAGAACTGCTTTTAATTGGAAATGCCACAATTTTTTTGCACTGTTACGTGGAGAATATATTCCTGACTAGTGTTGGCGTGTTTTCGAAGATATGGATTAAAATAGTGTATGATATTGCAGCTTATAGTTTTTGCTGACTTATGATATAAATAAATGTAGGGAGTGATAGGGATCCTGATCATTTTCTTTAGGTTTTAGTAAGGCTAGAAAATGAACTAGGGAATAAATTCATTCACTCCATTTTTTCTTATCAGTGAATCCTGGTAATGAACCACCTGGAAGAAAATAGGTTTGATTAGTTCTACAATGATATGAACTAAAAAAAAAAAAAAAAAGAAGAAACTCCAAAAGAAACACATTTAATTTCTAAAGAAGCCATCCCAGCATCTCAATTACCCACCTGCTCTCATTATTTGGAATATTTAATCAGCTGTGATTGCTTATGATAAATACCTTGGAAGTATTGATGCTGTTTGAATTGCCACACAACTTTGTCAAAAATCCTTTGGTGGAAGCTAGTTTTCTCCCAAAGCCTTAAATTATTTTAATATACTTCCTTGAAAAGAAAAAATAAGGCAATATGGCAAAACAGTCGTTTGGGATTTCCCTGAAATATTTCTGTTGGAGGTTTCTAGGGGATATGGAAAATGTCCACCAACCCAGCTGGAAGAACAAACTGTGGGCAGCCAACTGATTCTGGCCCCTTTCAGATAGGGAGGATCTGGGCGCCCCTCTCGCTGGGCATGAAGTGCACTCAGGAGGAAGTGGACCTGAACCTGCTGAGATACTCACACACCGGGACGGAGGACTCCCCGAACCGAGACAGCTTCACCTTCTACCTCTGGGACGGTGACAACAGATCACCTGCATTTGATTGTCACATCATCATCGAGGGCGTAGGGAAAGGGAAAGGTATGCTTGCGGTATTTGCTGGGATCGATTTTTATAACTGAAAACAAGCTGGTCTAAGCATTCCACATGTGTTTCTTTCCTCCTCCCTCATTTCTTTTCTTCCTTCCATCCTTCACCCTGAAATTCCACCGTTTATGACTCCATCCTTTGACTTCTCGCCTGTTCCTCTAGGGACGCGTGAGTCCCCAAGGGCAGCCAGTCGTATTCTCTGTTACTTAGCCAGTCTGTCCCGCAGGATGGCAGCATAGGCTACTTTAATGGTGAGGGGTTTTGATTAAGTAAAATTGTACTGAATTGGTGTGATGACTCTAATTTCTTCTCCAAGAAGTGAATTATCATTGGAAAATAGTTTCCAAGGAAAAATATTTCTAATATAATATGAAAGCAAGTGGAATAAATGTACTTTAAATTTTAAAAATAACAAAAAGGACTTTGTCATTGAAAAGTTGGAAGTTGTTATTCTTTTCACTGTGAAAATGCTAGTACACACTGTAGGGACAAGGAAAAATACTATAAAATAGTAAGTTTCTCTTGAATTAATTAAGCAACTCATTTGCATAACATGAGTCAACAGCTTGTAAGTGGTGGGTGGAGGAAAGTTAAAAAAAAAGTTCAACAAGGGAAATAGATACACACACACCTTGGTGCTCAGCTGTTACTTCCCATAATTTTGCTTATTGTGTGTGAGGAGAGCAAGAATCATATCTTATTCATCTACATAGTCCTAGGATCTAAGCATTCCTGAATGAAGTATTGTCTTACATTTTTAGTACCGGATCCATTGATCGAATGTTTTCGTGTTTTGCCTTGTTTGTTAGGAAGCTCAGAGTTAAGTTGGATATTAAGTGCAATAAAAGTCTTGCTTTGTGTGTGTGGTAGAATTAAAATTGTCCTGAATTAAAAAAAAATTTATTTGGTTGATCTTGTGATATTTATTTTTGACTATATACTTTATTTGCTTGTTTTCTGGTGTAAAATGTGTCCCTTGAAAATGTTAAATAAGTGACTTTCAAATAACCTAGATATTTCTGAACACATTTTATTTCTCTCTGAAAAAATTATGCTCATTTCCATGTATATCCAGGCAAAATGTACACAAGTGATACAAGTAACATTAGGAGAGACAACTAGTCTATCAGGGCAGGCTCTCTTCTCATTGGCTCAGCACCGCTTCACGGCTGTGGAAGCGGGCTCTATTTCACACAGTGGTATGGGGACTGTTCCAATCTGGACATTCCCTTGTCTTGGAAAGTCTTTGAATCCCTCGGAAATTGAGATGTGAAGGAAAATTTCACAGAGTAGGGTTCATTCAATTGGGTTTGGAAGCTGGATGCCTCTCTCGAGCATGTTCCAGTGCCTGAATCACAAGGATGCTGGGCAACAGAAAGTATGGCAGTGCACCCGGAAAGGAAGGCTTAAATAAGGCTGGCAAGTGCCTCAGCAGAAACTACACAATTGACATGTGATGAGTGTTTTCTAAAAGGTTTTATGAAAACCTATGCCAAGTAGCTACATTGATCTATTACTATTCTCAGAAGCTCAGAATCAGCCTGCCCTCCTTCCTGCCTGCCTGCCTTCCTTCCTTTCTACATGGTCGTCTGTTGTATGCTATTTTCCTGCTGTTCTTTTTAAAACTTACCATGAGTTTTCTTAAGTTGCATAAGTTTATAACTCTGCAACTATAATTGTTTATCTTCAAGTAAAGCTATGTTGTGTAGTTAGATTTAATTATAACCTTAATATTGAGCATTTGGTTATTCCCTCTGGGAACTATTATAAATAACTTTAAGTCTTCCAGTTGTGCTGTATGTTATGTTCTGGCCTGGGGTACAAATGATATCTTTGAAAGATGCTTAGGCAGGCTTGGTGAGGGTGACTTTAACCCAAACCCTGTCTTTACAGTGTGAGACGTGGCCCAGGGCTTGAGCCCATGCTCTTCCCTCCGGTAGATCCATTGCTGTGCTCCCAATGAAAGCTCTTGTGGGGGTTTCTCAACCCCCCAGCCTCATTCATTCATGTTATTTCCTTCATGTAGTCATCTTGGTCCCCTCTGTATATCTGAAGCTCAGCTTTTTATTTAAATTGAGGATGGCCTTTGATTCACTTGAGATAAAAGTCTGATTTGGCCATCTAAACAGGGCTCCCGATCTTGGCAGTACTGGCATTTTGGAGTGGACAATTCGTGGGTGTAGGGGACTCCCTTTTGTGTTGCATCTGTGGCCTCTACCATTAGAAGCCAATAGGTGGAGCTTTATTATGACAAATATATGGGGCAGGGAGTGGCCAAACTAACCCTTGTTGAGAACCACTGGTCTAAAACACCTTGCTGTTTTATTTCCAGTTTTTGTCTTCCCATGAGATTGAGTATCTTCATTCTTGTTGGCCATCTGTTGTTTTTAATCCAGTAATGGCTGGGCATTTGCTTCACATATTTTTCTTTTTGGATATCCAGCTGTTTGTTACTGAACTCTCAAGTAGTAGAGAGAGAGAGAGAGCAAAAAAGCATACTGTGGTGTCTCAGAGGCTGTGTTCTCAATGGCTTAGGTGCAGATTCTAACTGCCTTTTACTGTGTAGCTGCCAGCAGGTTAGTAGCATTTCTATATCTCAGTTTCCTCATTTATAATCGGGAATATCATAATACCCCACCCTACAGGATTGGGGTGAAGATTTAAGAACCCTCAGTCCTGTACCTGACAGACACAAAGCTGAAACTCTGTATTCAGATATGGTCATTTTTAATAGACCTTGGGTGAATGAACTGGATTATTACACTTAGTTGGTGAAACTGCATTATTGGTCCATACTGGACCCATTTCTGCCTTGCTCATTTATCCATTTATGCATTTTCTTTAAAATTGTGGTAAAATATGCATACCAAAGATTGTTCTTAGTCTTTTGTAGGTGTATCATTGGGTAGTGTTAATTAATTATATGTACATTGTTGTACATACAACCTTCAGAATGTTTCATCTTGCAAAATCAAGACCCTGTACCTGTTAAAATAACAGTTCTCCATTTTCCTTTGCTGCAGCCCCTGTAACTGTCTTTGTTTTCTGTTTCTATGAATCGGCTCCATCCTAGGTGCCTCATATAAGTGGCATCGTCCAGTATATGCTTCATGACTGGTTAGTCTCATTTAGCGGGATGCCCTCAAGCTTCCCCTGTGTTGTAGCACACATGAGAATCCCCTTCCTGTTCTAAGGCTGAGTCACACTCCATTGTCCGTGTATCCCACATCTTGTTTCTCCATGTATCTGTGGAAAGGCATTTGGATTGCTTTTACCTTCTGGCTGTGGTGAATAGCCCTGCCATGAACGTGGTGGTTGAACACACCTTCTTTTTAAAACACAATGAACACTTGTGCAGCCACCACACATCAGGGCCTACAGTATCAGCAAGACTGACATCTTCCTATGTCCTTTTCCCATCCTCCTGGAAAACTGCCATCCTGAATTTGGTATCATCTTCTAATTTTTGTAATTTTCTTGACTTACACAGCTAATGACTATTCATATGCTACATCTCTTGCTGTGTGGAGCTGTATCTCATCCATTTTGCTATTGCACAGAAATCAGTTGTATGGATAGACCCTGGTTTGCTTATGTATTCACCTTTTGGAAAGGCACTTGAGCTGACTCCAGCACAAGCGGTGCTGCAGTGACCACTTTGTATGTGTCTTCTGGGGTTCAAGTGCAAGAGTTTTTTTGAGGTACACAGAGAGGTAGAATCACCAAATCATAGTAAATGTGAATATTCAACTCTTTACAAAATAAATCCAAGTTATGTATCAATCTACACTTCCTTTACAGTTGTAGGCAGGACTATCTTGACCTCCCTGCTTGTTAACGCTTGTCAGACTTCTGTATTTTTGCCCATCAAAGAATTATGAGATGGCGGTTTATTGTGATTTTGTATAGTATTTTCATAATTATTAATGATATCGAGCATCTTTTTAGATCCTTATTGACCACATGTTTCCTCTTAAAATAGCTGTGAATCTCTTTTGCCTAATCCTTGTATGAGTCATAGTTCCTGAGCTTTTCTGTGTCAAGTTAGATTTGACTTTGACGTAGCTGGGCCCTGGTCTTTTACCTTTGCCTTGAACATGACCTATTTTTAAGTACGATTCTTGACTCTCCCCTCTCCTGCCGTGCAGATGATATTGTCATTCTCACAAAGCCACTTGTGGTGTCTAAAGGTGGCAGAGGCATCTTGACAACTGCCACTCTGTTGGCACTGGGCGGGACAGACAAGCATGAGGAGCTGCTCTACTTCGTCACCTCCCCACCGCAGTATGGCCAGATGGAATACGTCCACTCTCCCGGAGTCCCCATTGCAAGCTTCAGCCAAGTGGACATAGCAGGACAGACAGTCTGCTATGCCCACAAGAGCAAGGTGGCTGCCTCCAGGGACAGCTTCAGGTGAGTCCTGTGGAAACGTTTTTGAACCCTTTCCTTGGGTTGATGGGTTCACGCTTAGAGCAGCAGAAATATGCTAATGTGGTCTATTGTAAGCATTTTACCATTGTTGACTGCCATAACATCATGTTGCATGCCTTAAGTGTGAGTATAAAAATTTGTTGTTTTTTTTTAAAGAAGAAAGGAAAAACAGTGAGTCCTTCCCCAGCTTTACTCTAGCTGTGTTTTTCTTCTCCTGCCTAGCTGTATGAAAGGTGGAGGCTCACAACTGAAATGCCAGAAGCACAGCAAGAAATGAGGAACTGGTGTTGAAAAATAAATGCAAATAAACATATCTGAATGCAAGTTCTTCTGAAAGGAGGAATGTGAAAACTGAGGGTACCCAACTAAGGATAGACATAGAAAAGGAATTTCTCTCTTTTAGGAGTGTATTTTTCTAACTGAGCAAAAGTCACTTATTAGCATAATAAGTTTGGCATGAGCAGACACTGCCTTTTGACACAAAGTGTTCCTGTAGGCGCTGTATCATAAATCACGTTGTCACAGAGTGGATCACATTTCCCCATGGAAACAATGTTATAATTGGGGACTGTGCACCTGTTCAAGGGTTCTGAATCAAATAAATCATTGGGATGAATAGCAATCTGGTGAAAAGGCAAAGATACAACATTAATGAAAATCTGTATTCACTTAAAATATGGAAATTTGTTTCAAGTCACAATAAATAGGAGGAATGCTAGAAGATCCATCATCCAGCAGCCCTCAAAGCTGGCCAGGCTTGAGGTGTCTTGTGGAAAGGCAGGTTCTGAGCTGGGTTGAGGACCAGACAATCTGGGGCTAGCCTATGGAGAACCATGGTGTGTAATCCAACCCTGAATTTCACCAGTTAAGGAGGCTGTAAACCCAGGGCTTCCCAGCCTCCAGTACAATTTTCACCTTGGCCAAGATAATCTTCTACAGGACACTATAAAATGACATAATGTTACAAACTCCTATATTGCTCAGTGGGTTTTCATAAACTATCAAGTATTACCAATGTTCCTATGTTTAAACACAACTCCTTTCTGTCATATACAATGGTACCTCAGTTCATGAACTTAATTTGTCCCATGATTCTGGAAAAGATGACTGCGTTCCTATTTAGGCAGAAAAGATGGCCTCAGTCGAGTTTGTCACCCCATGCAGAGTTCGCAAACAAACAAAAAAATTTTCCCAAACCAAATTGTCCGAAAACAAAAATGTTCGTGAACTGAGGTACCACTGCACTTATCTAACTTCAATATATCTGTTGTACTAAACACTGTCCAAATGGCAGTAAAGATGATTTTGCTTGCCCTTTGAGAATTTAAAGTGATTTCTGAAAGATGATATATACAGTCCAACCAAAAAAAAAATCCAGAAAAGCTTGAAATAATCTTTTTTTTTTTTTTTTTTTAAGCTAGGGATTGAACCCAGGGCCTTCACACTGAGCTACATCACTGCCCTTTTAAAAATTTCTTATTTTGAGATAGGGTCTTACTTAGTTGCCCAAGCTGGGTTTGAATCTGTAATCCTCTCATCTCAGCTGGGATTTCCTGCCACGACACCCAGCTCAATGTCCTCTTTATTTTTTCTCTCTCTTGATAAATGTCCTTTAACAAGTAGATCATCCTTTAACGGATTGCTATCTTAACCAAATCACCACTTGAACATTGCTAGTCACTAACTGAAACCTTAGAGGTGGATGTGCGTCCTCCCTGAGCTACATCCGGGGTTGGGGAGGTGGGGGTGTGGTTGGTAAGAGCAGGCTCAGAGTTGTGTGCTGCCTCTGACTCAGCTCTCCTTGCCGTCTTCAGGTCTCATAGCCTCCTGGGATTTTGTCCCCTCTATGGGATGGGATGGTGCTCACTGCACCTGCCAACCAGGGTTGGTGGGAGATTTAAATAAGCATCTCCATGTGCAGTCCATAAAACAACACATGGCACAGGCATAGAACTGAGAAACGTTAGCTGCTGGGATTATTACTCTTACTGTCATTGTCATATTCTTTCCTTGACTGCTTTCTGACCTCCATCTTTGCAGCTCCAAGCATAGTCTTGAAGGAGGAAAGAAGTTACAGAGAGGAGCAGTACTTGTTTTCCTCCTGTTTGTGAATGGAGGTGGGATGATTCTTGGCTTAAGCCATGTATATCAGGCCCAGAGCTTTTAATTTTACACAGGTTTCTGGAACTTCTTGCTCCTGTCTGCTCCCGCTTCCCCCCAGAACATTGGTAATGTCTTCAGTTTGCTGAAGACAGTAATGACTGTGCTGGAGAGACCCGTGACCCTTCTGGAGAAGCCAGTGAATGAATGTGTGTAAATGCTCAGAAATGAAGGTGAGGAGCTAATTGGATGGTGAGAGTAAGAAACAAAATCTCTATTTATAAGGACTGGTGGTGCTGAAACCTTTCCTAATTGTCATCTATAGGAGGTCATATTAGAGAGTATTTTAGAAATTATTTATCCCAAGAATTTCTACATTTCAAAATCCTCAGAATTACCTGGAAGAATTACAAAATACCAATTTTTAGACCTACCCCAGGCAACGTCGGTAAGTCCAGTTCCTGGCCTAGGAATCTATATTTGCAGAGTTCTCAGGCGGATCTGGTGTGTTGTGGGGCCGGCCTAGTTGGTTGTTCCAAATATGTGTGGAGGAGCTGGAGAATCTGTAGAGACAGATGTCGGGAGGCTGAGCTGGTGGGGCTCTGGGGCCCTCACCTCAGTTTCTTTTGTGTTTCTACACTTTGTCTTCCAGTTTGTTTTGCCCACTAGTCTTCTGAGCAAGGTTTTCTTTTAGCAAATAGACCATGGCTCTATTTCCTGAAGCCAGTGATTTGTACCCTGTGATGCAAAGATGCAAAATGATGTGGGCAGGACAGGGAATGAATGAATCAATAACAGGGAATCAGGAACAAGAAACTACTCCCTGTATGAGGTCTCCTTCCTTCTGATTCCTGTAAGGGGAAAGTCTCAGGTTGTAGTATCGATGGAATTAAGTTCTTCATAGAGAAGAGGTTTCCCTTTAAAGGTTACTTTATTTAAGTAAAAAAGTAAATTGATATGAAGCAAAATTAGTAAATAACAAGAGTATCAGTAGTCCAAGGACATGGCAAATGTGATGGTGGCCTTTGAATGCCAGAAGGGTAGGAAACAGGGCTACAGAAAGAAACAGACAAAGGTTGAAAAGCATCGATTGGTCCAATCCCTTCATTTCCATGCTGGAAAGTTAGCAGCGCTTGGACATCTACAATACATCAGGGTGTGTAACAGACCCTTTTTTGAACTATATTATTTCTCTTAGGTCTTACCCCATCACCTTGAGGACAAGGTTATTATCATTTTTGCCTGAGAAAACCAAAGTTCCAGAAGGTGAAGGAAGTCACTAAATCAACATAACTGAGTATCAGAGCTGAGGTTGAGACTCAGAGCTCATTTCTGTGGAGAGTTCTTTCCATGATACCTCCTTGCATGAAAAATTTGTGGAGACTATGCATTTGTGCAAAGGAACCTCCTAAATGAATCATTTTGAGTTTTGGCCAGCACTTTTACATATTTATAGTGAAAGCACCTCGCATCTGCCTGAGACCTGCATCTTAATCTTGTCATCTCACTCATCCAATCATGGCTGCTGTGTTGTTTGTCAAGTGGCGCTAAACCAAAGCTGAAAGCCTGTTTTTATGAAAGTGTGATCACGGTGCTTTTTAAAAATTAAATATATGCAACCAATCTAATCACCTAAATTTATGTTGCTTGCTGTTAAATTTGGCAAGAAATTTGGCAGGGTAGAAGAAGAGATAAATTCTGTGGCAGAGGATTTTTCTCCCTTTTTACTGTAAGATGTGGCAGCATTAATTAAATGAGGGAGTTTAATGGTCAGATTTTACCTTGTGCAAAAATATTTTGTGAATCATAAATTTCTCCTGCATTGTTTGGTGCTGCTGGCCTGGAAGAGAGATTTGGCAGCCTGTTCTAGGACAGATGACACCAAGTGATTAGCAAGCTCACTTCAGCTGCTGGCAGCCGGGCACTAAAAGAACATGCTAATGTCCTCCATTTTGACATGCCGGCTGGACTTTTTTTTCCTGAGGAGCTGGCGCTATTTATGATTCCATTTTTATCTTTTAAATGCCATGACAGATGGCAGATTCTTCAGCCAACTCTACTGCCAGGAAATGCAGAAAGCTTGAAAGCGCCGTGGTAATGGTGAAATCAGACCAGGCAGACACCCCAGACAAACCCGAGAATCATTCCCTGGATTTCGTGAGGATGGTGCTCATGTTGGCTACATTCTTTCTCTGGTGTTGTAGGAAGGGATATTAAACAAAGTGGACGTGGAGAAGGCGCTGTTCCCTCTGTCCTACTGCTTCCTTGCCACAGTATGGATACCGACATAGCCGTGGCACTGTTTCTTTAACCCTTGAGAATGTGTATTTACAGGAATTTGGTGGGGAGGGCAGCACTTGGGAGAGCATCTGGTCGACTTTTGCAGACATGAACAGCACTGACCTTGTTTCACTTGTTCTGCTAGCTTTATTTCAACTGGGAACCCAACCATAAGCATCACTCTGACTCTCTCTTGGTGAGGACTCTGCCTGTGAGTAGTTTGCACTGCTACTTGTGAAAGTGGAATGATGTATTTGATCCAGTCATGTCTGGAAATTACATCCTTTCCACCCCTGGCTTATTAGCTTTAGGTCAGTGCAGACATCTGCCTTGGTGTCCCAGCTGGGAGCGCTTCCCTCAGTCAACGTCTTTCTTACTCTTCTGTGGCCCTGGCCTGCTTGCCTTCGCTCCCATCTGTCTGATGGCAGACTGCCTATTTCCAGCATAGCCAGATCCCACTCATCAGGCAGGGACAAGTTTGAGATGGACAGCCAGAACCATGAGGCACTTTCAGCATCCTCACAGAGGGCACACACACTCAGGGTAAATGTGATGTTCCTGAGGCTGAGCTTTGAGGATCCTGTCCTCTCAGGGCACTTTCATAATTGAGTCTCCAGAGAAGAAAGTCAGTCAGATATTCAAAATGGCCACCTGGTATGGAGCCTGTATCTCAGTTGAGAGCACCTTGAACCTTCCTCCCTCCAGGTCCTCGTGTCTCCCTTTCTTTTCTGGGTTTTTTTTTTCCCTCCATCTTTGCCGATCTTTGATAGACTTTTTTTTTGGTACCAGGGACTGAACTCAGGACCTTTCATCACAGGCACTGGAACCACTGAGCTATATCCCTGGCCCTGATAGACTTTTAATGGGGCACAAAGTCTTTCATTCCACAATCAATGCTCATACTAAAAGTTCATGTCCTTTCACATACACTGGTGCTAAATGATCAATAACTGTTTTAAAACTCCCATTAAGAGGACATTTTTATAGGCATTGGGTAAGGAGTAGAGAGCTGTTGTGTGGGAAGTAGGATGGAATGGGAGGTATGAAACATGTTTCAGGAGGAGTAAAGTGAAAAAAACAAAAAATTTGGAGGCACTGAAGGAAGGCCTAGTCTTCTCATTTTTCCCTGGGTCCAATAATAGGATCTAGGGGAAGAGAGGAATACAAAAAGTAACAGGAAAAAACAGAATTATAGTAGAGTTCTGTGAAAGGCTTTGCCTGAGAAATAGAATGCAGTTTTCATATCTAAGACTTCACCTTCCTCAACCTTTGAAATTGTCAAGGTGACTAAAGTAAAAAGTGTGAAGAACATATACTGGTTTTTCTAGGTGTGCTTTTTTCTGTTTAATAAAAAACTAATTTCATTAGCACTCATCCTCCAGCAGTGAAACTGCTCAATTTTTTAGAATATATTAATCAGAAGTTTTTCTTTACCAAAAGAAAACATTAATTTGTTTGAGGAAACTGCTATTTTTGCTTAATCTACAATTCTGCAGGTAATTCAGGACTTTATTCAAACTGTATGAAATGATGCTATAGGAAAAAAGGGAAAAAGACAGGTTACATTCTTTATAAGACTAGGTGTGTAAAAATATCAAAATTTTAATTTGTTATATTTCCCTCAGCAATTTTAACTCAGGAGATAGAGATTCATTATTCTATGTATCACATTATATTTTCCGTGAAGGTGAAGGTAGTCTTCGTAAGTAGATGATTAGAAAGCTTGAAACTTCTGTTTTGCCTTCAAAGCAAAGTCTGTACTCCATGAATATCATCTCCCTGTAAGTTTTGTCTGCTTGTTTTTCTCCCCGACTCTGCCCCAAGGCAGGGTCATGACTGATGATACATCCTTGACCTGATTTCAAGTTCCTTTGTGGTCAAAAGTAAAGCATCCACATTCAAACTCTGAAGGATAAGACATAGTTTGGCAAAAAATAAGGAATTTGTTAGTCCAATTTGCCCGGTTAGTAAAATAAGTATAACCCCCATGCCTTCTGTAGTTAACAAGAACCTCCAAAGAAAAAATATAAATAATTTAACATTTTATTCCACAAAAACATGATTTCTAGAAATTCTTACATTTGTGGAATATGAGTATATCCTTGCTAGGTAAATAAGGACCAAAATGTATAATAGGTATTGTGAAACAGGAAGAAAATGTTCAAATGGGAAGGGGAACAAGAGAGGGGGGAAGGGGGAAAGAAAGGAAGGGAAAAGAAAAACAGAAGAGAAGGGAAAAAATGGGAACAGCTTTTGTAAATAAGGAAGGGAAGAGGGGTAGAAGGGAGGGGAGGGTAGAGGGGAAATAGAAGAATCAAGATATATCATGTACAGGTACAAATTCCCTATGATGAAGGTGATCATTATATATATACCTAAAATACACCAATAAAATTAATTTTTTAAAAAGAGTGTATCCTTCCTAAATATTTTTAGCAACTATGCACATGGAGGAAAACTAATTAATTCTAAGTACACTACAGTTCTTTCATCTGTGGTGAATTTGTTGATCTTACTTCATAGTAGTGATTTTCTAACTTTTTGGAGTTTTAATACTTTGATTAATTACTTAATGTATAATTTCATAATGTTTTTAATTTTCCTTAAAATAACATGTTGAAATTGTGTAAAGATCATTTAAAGTAGCATTACTGTGAGAGTGACTGCAGCAGAGAGAGTGTGATTTAGCGATGAGTGTAATCCAAAGCACACTATGGTATCACAGACCCAAGAGTGTAAGAGGGTTGGCTCACTTGGAATGTGTGTCATTTCAGTTCTGGTAAAATGGCTGTGAACTGGCACTCAGGTGCCATACTCTTTTTGGTGGATTTCTAAACTGGCATTTCTTAAAAGCTGTAGGACAGAGGGTATTTGGCCAAAAGTTCTGGGCACTAGTCCCAGCTCCGTCTCCCACCTGCCCCAGGACGCCCGCCAAGTGTCTGAACCTTCCTTTAAAGCAGGGAGAGAACCCTTGTCTAGCATAACTGCCACACATCCAGAAGGGAACCACGTGGATGCAGTTGTGTGCACTGTAGGAGGTTAGAGCCTCACATCATATCGCAGAGGTGGATGATACTCGGTGACCATCTGGCCCACCCTTCATTCCACAGGAGAGGAGGGAGGTGAGCTAGGTAAGGCCACATGGCTGACGATAAGAAACTTATTGTGAAAACGTGAGCATAATGACGTAACCAAATTCAGTCCATTCAATGCTTCATTGTATTGGTTTTGTAATTTTAAGTCTTAAAAGTTTAGCTTATTATCCTCATGAAAAAAATACATAGGCGGATCACAAGTTCAAACCCAGACTGGGCAACTTAGTGAGACCTTGACTCAAAAAACAAAACAAAATGCAATATTATAAATGTACAAAATTAACGTACTTTTCAATGTCATGTTCTGTTCAATTGGATATGAAATTTCTATCTGGGGCAGTACTATATCGCAGAGTACACCTGCCCACTCCAGTCCCTGAGTCCACCAGCAGCGTTACGAGAAAACACCTGAGGGCAGGGCATAGTCCATGTGTCACCTGGTGACCGTGTGCTGACAGAAAGGTGTTCTTTGGAAAGGTCTGCCCTTGCGTTTTCCTTTGCGTACCGGCGCGACCTGTCCTTTAGTAAAGGTGTGTGTTGTTATCGTTTCATTGCAGTAATGGTGACACAAGAACCCATGCTGAAGGGTGCCTTGCCTCTCTTTGCCAGATTCCTCCTCAGCAACGGGCTGTGGACCAGGAGCGGGGAGTTCGAGATCACACTGAAGGCCGCGGACAGAGCCCTGCCAGTGGTGGCTAGGAACAGAGGGCTGAGGCTGGCCCCGGGCGCCACGGGGCTGCTGTCCCCAGACCTCCTCCAGCTGAGCGACCCCGACACGCCTGCGGAGAGCCTGGCTTTCCTCCTGGCCCAGCTCCCGCGGCACGGCCAGCTCTACCTGCGGGGAGCAGCGCTGCGGCAAGGCAACTTCACGCAGCAGGACGTGGACAGCAGACGCGTGGCCTATCGGCACTCGGGAGGCCACTCCCAGGCCGACTGTTTTACCTTTGTGGCTGCAGATGGGACAAACCAAGGCTTCATTGTGGATGGGAGAGTCCGGGAGGACCCTGTTCCCTTCGCCATTCAGGCAAGTATCGCAGACACCCAGATGGTGCAGAGAGGTGAGGGAAATACTCAGAAGCTATGACTTCTTACTTCCTTCCCTCTTCCATTCAGTTACGTTGTGTACGTCCACAGCGTGCTAGGCACATTAACATGTCTGAAAGAACATTGTCCCCGTATACAGGCCGGTGACTGACCTTAAAAGTTGGTGGTAGTAGCCACTTGTGTAATTCCTGCACTCCGGGAGGCTGAGGCAGGAGGATTGAAAGATCAAACCCAGCCTGGGCAGTTTAGTGACTTAGCAACTTAGACTCAGAAAGAGGGGTTGGGGCTTAGCTCAGCTTACTGTGGATTCAATCCCCAGTATCACGTGGGGTTTGAGGTACGAGGTTGGGAGTTGGGGAACGGAAGGGTGTCGGTGGTGATGCAGGAAGGAGCCAACCCTGGGCCTGGGAGCCAGAGAGACCTAGATTTGCCTGGTGCTTTGCCATTTCTTAGCTGTGTGATCTTAAAAGAGTTTTCTTTTCTTTTTTAAAAATTTTATTGTATTAGTACATTTAAGGTATACAATACAATGACATTCATCATTGGAAATTTGCACCTTTACATAATATCCCTTGGTTCTTACTTTTTTCCCCATGTCTCTGCCCTCCCTTCAACCCCTCCATCCTCCCTATTTACAAAGACTTTGCTTCCATTTTTTCATCTTCTCATATTAATTCCATTCCCTTCTTTCCTTCACCCTCCCCCTCCCCCTTCCCCTTTGCCTCTTTTCTTCCTTTTTCACACTATCTATTATACCTTTAAAAGAGTTTTCTAACTCCTCTGATCTACGTTTCCTCCTTTGAAGAACATGCCTGTAGCACTGTGGCGGGGGTTAAACGAGAGGAAGTGTCCAAGGCACTTGCTTGCTTGAGTGCTGCCTGAAATGTGTGTGAGGATCGGCCGTAGCATCAGAGCTGTGTTGGGCTCATCCTTACTGGTCCCTGTCAGCTCCTGGGATTTTAGGGTTTTCAACTAAACAAATGACAATTACAGGCAGTATCAACATTACCCACATAATAATGATGAAGATGATAAGAGCAGAAGCTACATTTCTTTACTGTCAGCTGAAGGGCAGACCCACTTTACAGAAATCTTATTTCATTCTCATAAAAATCCTGCAAGGTAAATTTTATTATCTACATTTTATAGATGGAAGGTGTGAGGTTTTGAAGTTCAGCAATTTGATCAAATACACACAAAGACCTCAAATCTTTCTGATTTCAAATTCTGTCCTTCCTATGATACTGTTCTGCTACATTTGTTGACTCTTGCAATGATTCTTTTAAAAAGTGTTTTAAGATATTTTAAATTTTTATCAGTACATGTTTACAGTATGTAATAATTACATTCCTTGTGGGGAATTGGTTTCTGTACATAATATATCTCAATTCTTTTTCTTCCCTTTCCCCTCCACCACTGTCCCCCCCCCCTTTTTTTTTTTTTTGCCAGCATCAGATTCATTTATCTTACATCGCTTCTAGGCCTTTTGACTGAGATCAAGTGTAGTATCTTACAAGACCTTATAAAGTTAATTATCACAGGTACAGATTAATAGCCAGACTAACAGGCCAAAAAAACCTATAAAACACATAAGACAATTTTACTAAATCAGGGTACACTTTTAAATACATTTTTCGTGCTGGATTACAATGATTTGTTCCTTCTTTCCTTTCTTTCTCCCTTCCTTCCTCTTGTCTTTTATTTTGTACTGTATTTATAGAGTTTCTTATCTAAGAGAAACCATGTGATATTTAAGTGTGTGTTTACTTCAGTTCGCATTATGGTCTCAAGTTTCATCCATTTTCCTACAAATGACTCCAGTTTATTTTTCTTTATGGTTCTTAGAGAATGCAGTGTGTCTTTCTTCTTCTCCTTCTTCTTCCTCTTCCTCGTCTTCTTTTTTTGGTACCAGGAATCAAACTCGGGACCTTGCATTTGTGAGGCAGGTAGCAGAACCACTGAGCTAAATCCCCAGCCCTGTCTTTCTACTTTAGTCCAAACAGGTCCAGTATGTTCTGGCTCTCAGGCCCTGAAATCTACTCTCCTTGGATGTGGTTCACCCCTGTTCTGCACACTTCCACCAACAAACAAAAAAATATAATTTTTGTCATAGTCTCTTCTGATTGGTAAAATAATCCATGTTTCTCTCTTGTTCTTTAGTCTCTATATTAGGGTTCTCCAGAGAAACAGAGAATATGTGTGTGCATGAAGGTATGATGTCTATACCATGCATATATCTGTCCCTACATAATTCCAAATAATACATATAGACATAATATATAAACAATACATTATTATATAGCATATAGATATGTAGAAAAGAGAGAGAGAGAGAGCTTTTAGAGCTTCATTCAATTGTAGGGCACACTGGTAAGCTAGAAATTTCAGCAGGGCTTGGTGTGGTCTTGAGAGCTGAGAGCAGTCTGGACATAAAGTCCCTTCCTTTTTGGGGGACCACAGTCTTTGCAGGCCGGCAGGAGGTTGGAGGGGGCCCACGAGCACCATGGAAAGCAATCTGTTTACGCTGAATCCACTCATTTATCGCTAATTGCATCTGAAGCACACCCTCCTAGAAACATCCGCCAGCTAGACGCTGTAGCCTCACAGAGCAGACACACAAAGTGAGCCTTCCATCCGTACCTAACAGTCTCCCAGGCGGGGAGTCGCCGTACACAGAGTAGGTAGGTGCTGGGTGAGCTGTTCTTACCAGAAGGTCCCGGAAGTAGAATGAAATGCTGGTGCTCCAGAGAAGAGAGAGAGAGTGATATCACTGATGCAAGGCGTAGGAAGGATTTTGTACATAGCTGTTAAAATTACTGCTTTTGGCCGGGGATTTAGCTCAGTGGTTTTGCCGCCTGCTGCGCAAACGCAAGGACCCAAGTTCGATCCCCGGTACAAAAAAAAATTACTGCTTTTATTTTTTATAATGTCTTCATCCTTATTAGTTCCATCCAGATCTTCAGGCTATCAGTACTGCATCTTTTTCTTGATTCCAGCTTCCTGCTCTAGGTTGAGAAATGTCACTTCGTTCTTCACCAGAAATAATTTTCTAGGTCTGTTGGCTGCAGATGTGTAAGAGTTATGCATTCTGAGCACGGCCACTACCAGTTCCTTCCCGTGCTGTGCAGCAGGGCTGGAAACATCAGAGTTGGTGTCTCCCAGCCCTCATCTTAGGGAGCGTGGCTATTGCGAGAGCTCTGCCCAGAAGATGAATTTATCCATAGGTAAACAGTGGATGCATGTTATAAGGTTTCTTTCTCATCAAAAGAATAAGATTTTCCCACAAAGAAAGACAGACAATCATTATGAGTAAAAACCTCACTAGGAAAGCCTCAGACTTTGTCCCCAGTTTCCCCTGAACCCCTGGTTCCTCGGAGGTCAAGCAACTTACTGACTGACCCTGTTAGTAGTGAACCAAAGATGGCATCTTCCATCTTACTTTTAAGTGCTCTTTCTACCCAGACATGATGTTTTAGCCACCGAGTGATGAATTGGTCCAAATTCGTCTACTAGGCATAACTGAAAAATTCTGGGTTGGCATCCGGGTGAGTGGGGCAAAAATACTAGGTGTAGCACATGCAGAACACAGTTGTACCTGACCCATGCCAGCAGCTACAACCTGAGATTCCCCTGGCAGGAAATCATGTCTGTCCGACCAGAAAGTGTAACCTGTAGTCGTCCAGTCCAGGGGCAGGACTTAGGTTGGAGGACAAAAGACCCTGCCATTGCTCTTTGTAGTTGTGGCATGTCTTGGCTGGTTTTCACAAATCTAACACGCACTACCACAGGGCCCCAGTCTTCTCTATTAGAAACTCTCATGCACCAGTATTTTAACGTGCTTTTGGTCTGCCTGGTCAGAAGACCTGCTTATGAAGAAGCCAGAGGTGTCATAATTCTAGAGTAGATTTCAGCACGAGTATGGCCAGAGACACAAGAGTCTGTGTGACTAGAGTTTAGATACTGTTTTACATGACCAATGACTAAAACAGGCATGAAGTACTTTTACAATACTTGTAACATCAAATCATAAAAAACAAACATCCTATGTGCAGCTATTCATGATCTTTGAGAGTTTCTCACATGGCTTGGAGCACTTTTATGTTTCCTCCTCTTCCATGAGCATCTCTCTTATTGTCCTCCATGGTTGTGGGAGCTTTTCTCCCTAAATATCACAACAGCTGACTCCCCAGCTGAGGTTCAATCTCCACAGCTCTGAAAGCTATGGCTATAGTTTCCAAGAGATTCTGTTTCCAGAATGACTGCAACCTTTGAAAGTGTTTGTTGCGTTTTCAGTTTATAAAATAATTGTTTATTGGAAAGAATTCATAAACTATAAAAAAGAACCAGGGACAAAGTCTTTCAAAATTTCACCACTCAAGCAATAATAATACTCTGGGCAATAATAAGTAGATAATATGTACTAATACAAATGTATGTTGCCTGTTTCCACTCTGCATGTATTGTGAACATTTCTCAATGTCATTAAATATTCCTTGCAAATAGGAGTTTTAAAGGTTGTGTTGGACTCAGTAACAGGTAGAGATGGTTTATAAATCTCCTGTTGGGCTTGTATGTTTTTTGTTAATTGCCATTATAAATATTTTCGTGGATATATATCTAATATATTCACACACATTTTTGTGTACACAGCTGTTTCTGTAAGATATTTTCTGGAGAGGAAAGTTTCAGTATTTTGCTCCTCTACCAGTAAAATATAAAAATGTTTCTCTATATAATTACCATCAGGAATCATGATTAATTTTATTTTTTAAAAAAAACCTTAGGGCCGGGGATTTAGCTCAGTGGTTCTGGTGCCTGCCTTGCAAGCGCAAGGTCCCAAGTTCAATCCTTGGTACCAATAAATAAATAAATAAAAACAACCTTGCTACTTTGAGAGGGGAAAATGACTGGTTGTTACCAAATTCCAAATAGAAACAAATGAAGAAGCTATAATTTTTTTCCTGGTTTTGTACAAAATTTCATATATATGCTTTGAACTGAAATGGTATTATAGTCATCTTTATTTATGGAACACTTTCATTTCTGAATCGTCTTACCACTGGCTGTTGTTTGTTGTTGTTGTTTTTTGGTACCGGGGATCAAACTCAGGACCTTGCATTTGTGAGGCAGGTACGGTGCCACTGAGCTAAATCCCTAGTCTTGTTGTTGTTTTGCAGGACTGGCGGTGGAACTTGGGGCCACTGTGCCACTCAGCTGCATTCCCTTCCCTTTTTATTTTTTATTTTCAAGACAGGAGCTTGCTAACATGGTCAAACTTGCCTCAAATTTGTGATCTTCCTGCCTCAGCCTCCCAAGTAGCTGGGATTATGGGCATGCACCATGACACCCCATCCCCCTGTTTTTTTTGAAACATATATAGTAATGTACTATAAGAGCATGTATATAATATTATCAGTGACATAAATTCCTTGCTAAGAGAAACATGAATTAAGTGGTATCATATGGGGCAGATAAAGTTAAGCACTGAGAGATTAGGAATGAAGAGAATGATGGTATAGAGAGGACCCTCAAGTTATGACAGGCCTGACGTACGAACAACTTGGGTTAATTAGGTTAATGAAGATTCATCTGCCTCTTGTTATCTATAACATGTACCCAGGTAAACGTCCAGGCCTCAGCTATACTGACTTACAACCAATTTGAGTTACAACCAGCCCTCAGGAACCAAATGAGTTCATAAGTCAAGGGTCCACTGTATCCTTGTACCTGTTTTCTATGGCAGTGATGAGTTGGTGCTAACAGTCAAAACCTGCTCCTGCCTGGCCTGCAGCGGCCCTCTGCAGGAGGATGAGCTCCGCACAGACAGCTGTGACTGGACACCCTCTGCGCACTGAGTCTGTGCTCCTTTTCTCCCTCAGGATTAACTGCCCATCCACCACCCCAGCACATCTACTCACCTGCTCCTCATCCTCAGTACAACAGATATTCAAGTCTAAAACAAATTACTTGCAGGTTTTTCTTGTTGAGATACTTCTATTTTTATTCAACACTTTTCCCATTGAAGCTGGTATGTGAGAAAAATGTCTACATATATATAAACCTTTCCAATTCTGTTTCTATAAATCATTAAATATTGGGAAAATAGGGAAACCCCTCTGTGGTGCTAACATTAAGTTTGCAATATAATTCCCGGGTCAATTTTAACTCAGCATTTCAACAAATATTCCTTTAGCTTCTGTGAAGGTTGAAGCATTGTGCCAGGGCAGGAGTGTGCAGCACACCTGCCCTCGTGAAGTTTGTATCCTATGGAGATCAGACATCAGGGAAGTTAACAAAGTTGGGTCCAGGTGTACAATGGCGAGTTGGCCTGTGCTCCAGGCACTGATATTTGCAGACAATGCTGTGAACAAGACAATCTTCACAAATATAAAAAAAGAGGAATCTGAGCAATCTGCAACTTGGGAGGATTTGTCACGGTTGCCATTACAGCCTGACATCTTGTGGGGGCAGGAGTCTTTGGATAACACTGTGTGTAATTATTGGTGGTTCAGGTGGACCAGGTGGACAGAACAGCACCCCGAATCACTCGCTTGCATCCCCCTTCCCAAGTGGGGCTCCTCAAAAATGGCTGTTATGGGATTTACATCACTTCCCATGTGCTGAAGGTGTCAGACCCTGACACCAAGGATGACGAGATCATCTTTAAGATTTTACGAGGCCCACTACATGGACATCTGGAGAACACAACAACAGGTACTGGCTTCCTGAATCCTTGTAATTGCTCATTTTAAAATACCCAGTAGCTGGCAGGGCTGGAGAGTAATTTAATTAAGTGCAGAACCAGGTGGCAAACACTCCCCAGGGCTTACTTATAGCTGCCGCTTATAAATCAGTATTGGTGCTAAAGAGGGGTTGAAACTGAGCCTTCACGAATTCATGACTGGGAGAACCAAATCCTGATACACAGCTGTTTACTGTTTGCAGTGTTTTTCAACAACCGGGTTTTAGAAGTACACACAGTGCCTGGGTCAGATTCATATCTGTACCTGATTTTTTCTTCCACCATGAATTCTAAATGCTATCAGGTCTTTGAAAAATTCCAAGATTTTTTTTTTCTACTGGGTTCTCTGGATTATATGTTATTTCGGTTTTATGAAGATAGTGATCATAATAGTAAACAGGGTGGGACAGAATTATAGACTTTTATATCTTCCTACTTCCTTTTTATTTTATATTTTTAAAGCAAATATTTCTGAAGCAAAGTACATTTAAGGTTTAATTTTAGTTCATTGCATTTGAGTGTTGAGAGAGTCACAACTATCTAAATGTACTTTGGCTGTTCTTTAAAACTGTGTTTCAAATAAAATAAAGCTGTTTCAATAAAAAGCCATATGATTTTATCAGCTCTCAATGTTTTGTTTGGTAACTCATGAGATTCACTTATCTCTTTTTTGTAGGTGAATTTATCTGTGAGAAATTTACCCAAAAGGACTTAAACAGTAAGACCATTATTTATATCATAAACCCATCTTTGGAAGTAAATTCAGATATCGTGGAATTTCAAGTCATGGACCCCACAGGGAACTCTGCTCCTCCTCAAAGGTAAATTCCCTGCCTGTAACATTCAGCATGTATCTGATTAGAGCAGTGAAATGATCTTTTTCAAACAGAACCTAAGAAGATAAATTGATAGACCACATCATAACCTCATAGAATTTATTTTGGAGAAAGGATTTTCTTTTTATTACTGTTTGATAATGGGAAACCCAATCATTTTACAGATATGGGAACATTAAAAGGTTAAGTAGAATAGTGTCGTTCATGTTCTGCATAAAAATGCACACCCTTTGACGCGCAGAGTAGAGAGGCTGGCATCCGATCGTGAGCTTGCAGGTGCGTGTGCACACTGCAGCCAGAGGTCACTCTAGGACCATGTTAGAAACGATGCTCTGAAAATACCTAAAAAAACACTAGGAACAGGAAAAGGAAGTGGTCAGGGAGGGCTGGCGAAACATCTCTTTCCCTGACTAAAGAAATAAAACTGTCTTTGTAAATTAAAAAGCCCATCACAGGTTAGGTGAAGCAGACTATGGAGGAAAAGACTCAGGCGTTAAGTGAAAGTTGAAAAGGTATAAAGCATACAACCTTTAGAAAAAGAAGAATAACACAGCCTCAAAAGGATCAGGACCTACAGACCATAATAATTTCACTGCTCCATCCCTGTCCCAGACTCTTCCTGAATATGGGCCTTGGAAGTTTCCTCACTGGCAGTCGTAAGAGTCGGGTCAGACACTGCTCTGTGCTGTGCTTTTTGTTTGATGTCTTTCCTGGACAAGTCAAAGGAAAGTTTTTAGTTTAGTCTAGGTTCAGTATTATCATATCCTAGAATACTAACCAGCCTAAGTGAGTGCAGCCCTACTATGGTTCCTTTCTATAGAACATGAACAAAGGAAGAGGAAAAAAAAGTGTGAAGCCCACTCTGTTCTTTTCTTCATTCTTGCTTTTTCTTTCCCATTCCAAGTTGTAGTTCCAACATTTGCCAGCAGAGGGCTCCATTGTCACGGTAAAAAAAAAACAAGCCCCCCCCCCCTCCGCCCCCTTTTTAACACATTCCCATTGTCCCACCTCTGTGACTGTATGGTTCTAACTACCTCGCCCAGGTTTATAAACTCCGCAGATTTTTGTTGAGCGGCTACTATATGCCAGACACACAGTATTGGAGATGAAAAATAGGCATAAACAAGAAAGACCTGGCCTCTTAAATTTCCGAGGTTATGAAACTAAAACGGATGACGCCCTCCCATTAAACTACCTTTGCCTAAGAGAGACGATTCCTCAGAATCATGATCTTTAAAGAAAATATGTCAGCTACTTAAAATTCAGACAAATGTTTTAATTCTTCAGAATTTTAAATTCTGCTAAAAAATACTAATATATGGTTCGATAACTTTTTTAATAGTTTAACTAAAAAACCTATTATTGATCAGACTTGCCACTGACCTCGTGCTGACCTCTGGCCCTTCACTTGTGACACAATGCAGATACAGAGACTTTCCCCAGCAATGGCTCCAGATTGCTACGGCCTCACCTTCATGGCCTTTGTATTCCTTGTTATTGAGGACATTGCTTTCTGGAGAGGATTAATGTTTTTAAAGAACCCTAAGAGTTACATGAGAATATACCGAATGTAATTATAACCTTCATGGAGGCTATTTTAAATAGTCCCCTGCTTGTGTTGCTGTCAGTTTCGCTGTACCGATGCTGGAGACGTTTCTACTCAACTTGAAATGATTGGAACCAATGGAACAAAATGCTGTAGCATTTATATTACTAGGAGTAATGCAAAATGACTTTGATTCTGTCATAGTTTAGTTTATTTTTCTTAGAATGGGTTTGGGAGGTAGAAATTACTCAACATTTATCTTCATAATTTATGGGTTGAATAGTTGCTCCCAGCCTCATTTGAAAGCAGATGTTTTCTGGAACTAGATGCACATTTTCTAGTAAGAAACAATTTAGGAATAGTGAGTGGTTTTTCTTCCCAAGGCAGCAAGCAAGAGCCTAGTTATGTGTACAATATGAATTATAGGCATTTGCAACTTAAATTTTTGCTCTATTCTATCCTATTCATTTCATCACTGCTAATGCTTATGAGTTAGATACCATCATAGTCCAGAATTTACACAGGAGGACACTGAGGCACAGAGCAGGAAGTGACTTCCATGTTCACGGAGCTAATTAGAGAAGGAGCTGCTATCCTGCCCAGGAAGCGGGGCTTCAGAGTGTATGGCTGTCCTCAAACTTCTTGCCTATTCTAACAACTGCTAAGCCTGCCAGGGCAATAGAGCAGCAGATTTATCATCCTTCTTTTTCAGAAGACATTGGCTACCCAGGAAGCAAGAAAGAAAGGATACTTACCTTAAGGGTTAGTTGTTTGTTTGTTTTTTTTAATGTGAATCACAAGTATCGTTATGAGCGTGGATAGCGTATCTAATACCCGGGGAAATGTAGGGCAGCTAATAAACCACTGGACTTGAAGCTGAACTCAGGGTGAGCTTTAGCTCTGTCATTCACCTAGTGATTGCTCAAGCCCTAGTTACCTCATCTGTAAAGTGAGAACAATCACACAATTTTTTTAGAGAAACAAGTGAGATAAAATGTATGAACGTATCTTCTGTATTTGAAGTCTTTAAAGAATGCAGCTTGTGCTGGTGATTACTATTGTTAATTCATGTGGGTATTCAGGTAAACTCAATTGACCGAAGAACTATACTGAAACATACAGTGGATTAGAAAGCCTACCTCTAAGTAGAAATTGATTCTGAGATAATTTACAAAGTGAACAATCAATATGGTTATTCATCAAAGAGCTAAATGCAATAGCTTGCTATCGCAGCATTTCTATGCAGGATCAGTCCTGAAGGATCGATAGATGTTCCATTTTACAAAATGTTCGGAAATGTTGGTTTAGGTGAGATTAGTCAAGTTGTTGCCAGCTGACTAGTTTGCATGCTTGTTTAACTTAACTTCACCACATCCCAGAATCAAGACGCTTGTATGTGCTGGGAATCTCTGAGAGGTTCGCTATGCAGTGTATCTCAGTCTAATTGAGCTGTAGAACCACCCACCTCCTCACTGGAAACAAGTTCTTCATGGAATACATTTGGGAAACACTTCATCACAAATAGAAAGTACTTTATAACACTGAAATCCATGAAAATTTGCATAGAGCTTTGGTTTGGCTGAATGCCTAAATTTTAGGCACTCTGCTAGGTACTTTCACGAGTTCTCATTTGACCTACAAAATACAGTCCTTCAAGGGCAATAAAGAATTCAAGCTCTGAGCATTTAGTGATTATCCCAAAGTCATCAGAAGAGAGATGGAGCTGGGAGTGAACCCAGACTGCAGAGAGCGAGCGTCTCACGGCAGTGCCCGGCTGTGTCACTCCCTTCCAAGTTGCACCTTCAAGGTCATTGTCAAAGCTCCCAAAGTTACACGGGGCACACATGACTCACCAAGTGCACCTCTGCAATCACAGTACGCAGCGCTGACTGAGGCACTTTCCCCATCACAGCTTTCCTGAGTGCGCCCTGAACAAGCTGATTTCCAAAGAAAAGCTGAGCCATGCCCCTGTTCTCCGTAACTCAGCAGCTGCTTCTCCGTGCCTTCAGTTTCCTGGCCTCTCCCCAGCAGCTCCGCCCTAGCTGTCCTGTTACTCATTTCTGACCTCAAGAGAGAGGGTCCAGGAGAAATAGGAGAGAAGGGGAATTTTTTTCAGGCGAAGTTTGCAATGTTTTAACAGCTTTTATGAAACACCTTCATAAGAGGTTGAAAGCCCCAGCTCGCCAGTGCCTGCACTTAACCTGCAAGCCGAAGTTCGCATGTTTGTCTCCAGACTAGATCTCGGGGAGGCACAGAGGAAGGGAACGAAAACAGTGCTTATTAAGCACCCACTGTGTACAGGTGCTGAATACATATTAGCTGATTTTGATTGTAATCATTTGACAGAGTGTGATTCTCCTCATTTTGAGATAATGAAAACTGAAGCCCAGAGAGTGAGGAGCTGACCATATTTGAACAGTAATAAGTGGTTACAAGGTGTGTTAGGGTCCAGAGCACTTGTTTTCAGCACTCACTATGCCGCCTCTTGGCTAAGCGCAGTTTCACCATTACCAAGAGATGACGGAAGCGCTGCAGACACAGGTGTTCAGAGCATTAGCGTGTGCCGCTTAATAGCACTGTTTTAAATTGATAAACTGAGACTGAATATTTGGAAGCATGCATTTTAACATCTCAGTTTTCTCAAGTCATGTGTTGATGATAGAGATCTATCTATAAGAATAATAATTCAAGGGCTGGGGATTTAGCTCAGTGGTTTCATCACCTGCTGCGCAAGCGCAAGGACCCGAGTTCGATCCCCGGCACCCCCCCCAAAAAATTCAGATAAACAAAAATAATAATTCAATCACAATTTTAGCTTCTATGAAGTCTTTCACTGTGAAGCTCAGAGTAGTTGTTGAGCCCCGGTGGAGGCTGACTTGGTCCCTCTGAAGTGCGGATCTCACCACTATTCTACTTCGGGAAGTGAGAAAACAGGCTCAGAGCAGATAAGTGCCCTTCCCACAGACTCTCACTAACCTGCATTCATGTCCTGCATCTCAAACTGGTGCTTTAACCCCCATTTTTTTTTTTTTTTACTTAATTATTCCTTCATAGAAATGAATCAAAACTGGGCTTGATGGCACATGCCTGTAATCCCAGCACTTCAGAGGCTGAGGCAGGAGGACTCCTGTGAGTTCGAGGCCAGCCAGGCTACAAAGTGAGTTCAAGACCAGGCTGAACTACATAGCGAGACCCTGTCTCCAAACAACAATAACAATAACAACAAAGTGATAAATAAAATGAGTAGCCACAAAATAAAATATCAGGCAGGACAAATTTTTTACTCTAAAACAGAGTCTCAACCATGGCACTAGTGGCATCTGGGGACCAGTAATTCTTTGGGCCAATATCCTGTGCATTGCAGGTGTTGAGCAACATCCCTGACATCTGTCCTCAGGACCTCCCCTCACTAGTGGTAACAGTGAGTGCTGTCTCTACA